AGCCTGAAGTCCAAGGTCTGCTTCTATTCATTTCTACTCTTAGTTCTCCCTGGAATTCTGTCACTCTTACAGAAACCTTTGGTGTATACGTAAGTAAAAGCTTGGTGTTTGCCAAACAAATTCAACTCTATTCTTCCCATGTCTTTATCATCTTCCTAATGCTTGAGAGGCACTGCTCCCAACTTCTTGCAATCACCTATACATTCCCTTCACATATTTTAAGACAGAGATTCCTCCAGTCAGCATTCATCTTTCCATTTTACCTATGGAAAACTGTTTCCTCAAACCCTCTCTGTCTGGGCCTATAAACTTAGTTATATTAATTGTAATATGTCATGTCAGACTACTAGAAGATTATTTCCTCCCACAGTGATTTCTGAGAATGACATATAATCAAGACTAAATCAATCCACTGATATTTTTCACCTGCCATTCTTCGTTTTCCTTCTTTAGATCCTTCTGGTAACCTCTACATTCCTTCACTGGAGACCCACTACAGTGAATTAAGGGCTGAAATATTGTAATAGTGACTGGTAGCAGTTTGAAATAAGTATCTGTAGCAGCAATTACAAACAACAGAGAACATTGTATAAGGATTGGTACTGAATAATCCTGATAACTATTTTTAAAAAAAAGGAAAACATAACCATGGCATTGGGTAAAATAGTTTATGCTGATGATTAAAATTGGGAAGGAGAATAAAAGGAGAGGAGGAGAAGGGAGAGTATCTGCAGATCTGACTTACTGTCATACATGATTTCCTGATGATTCTGGCTAAGGACTTTATGTTTTATAGAGTCAGAGTAGTTGTCCACTTTACCCACTGCATTTGGGCACCACTGGTCCTTCTGTAATCTGCTCCTCCCCTCACCTCAGGACTGTCACCTACTCAGAATTCTCTTCTCCTTGACCCTCTCATAGTCACCTTCTCCTTAAGGTCTCAGTTTAAATATTACTTACTCAGAAATGCTTTTCCTGACCACCCAATCTAAAGTAACTACCCATTCATTCTCTATCCCATTACTCTTTGTTATTTTTTGTGTAACACATGCCGTATCTGATATATTCATATTTGTTGTTTGTTTCAATACTGTCTCTGCCTCCCTACCCAACACACTAAAATTCAAGTCTTATAAGACCTCATACTGGTCTGTCTTGGTTATTGCTCATCTTCAGTCCCTAGGTAAGTTCTAGGCATCCAGTAATTATTAAATACATGTTTACTGAATGTTGATAACATAACTTCAAAAAAAAGGTCTACTAAAATCAACATGGAACTGGAGGAAATCAGCTAGTCGCCTAGGCCCTCAACTCAACCAGACTGTGAGCTGAGTGCAGTTTCAGTAAGGCTGTCTTGTTTCTTCAGGCACATCGACCAGCTTTATCCTATTGCACTGGCCTCATGGGCATCTGTCAATGATCCCTCCTGTCATGTATATGTAGAAATGTAGCATCTTCTACATGTACATATATGTATATATGTATAACTGAACAACATCAATTGATGCAAAACTAATAAAATGTAAACTCTTGGAAGGGATCTTTTCTGCCTTGTTCACAACTGATTCCTCAGTACTCATCAGTTTGCTTGAAAATATTAACTGGCACACACAGCATGGTGTTTTTTTCACAGTTGTTGGCTATTTGTTATGTAAATGAAAGATGGAGTAAAGTGAGAAAATAGGTCTGATCAAGACTTTTTGGCTTGTATGAATGAGTCCTAAAAACAGAACTTACCTTGGTGGTAGTCTATCCTTCCATGCCTTCTACAAAAAAATTGGAAATACCTTCCAATTTTCTATTATCGAGGCTGGCAATTCTGAATTAGCAGTGGCATGTATGAAAGAGTTTGCAGTTTCACAGTTACTACCTTAAAAGAAGAGAAAAACAATTCTGTGTCTATTAGTATCTTGTTTGACAGTATAGTCTGCCAAACACATGTATTCTAAAATATTTGGTGTCAAATGACAAAATACTAGAGTTTGGGGATGCAGTTGGTTCCTTTATGCACATAGCTAATGAGAGGGATTGTAAAAGTGTTGTAAGAACAAATAGGAAAAGATATTGGAGCTAGGAAAATCTTCAAGGGGAAAGAAACCTAAAGAATGTTTAAGATATAATTAAATGATGAAGAAAATTATGGAAGAGATCATTCCCAGCCTAGAGACCTTATATCTAAAGGCTAACAGTTGAGAATATTGTTTTTCAAGGAACTAAAAGCAATTAATGTGGTTGCTATAAAAAGTGCAGGGAGAAGAGTGCAACAGATGGGGCGGGAGACTTCAGCAGAGACCAGATAGTGAAGTACTTTATAAGCCATATTGAGGCATTCAGATTTCACCCCACGGGCTGTGGGAAGCCAGTGAAGAATTTTAAGCATTGAATGATACTGAATTACTTTGTAAGTACAAGAATTACATTGTCAGAGTTGTACTTTACAAAAATCACTCTAGATTCAATATGTAGAATTAATTGGGGAGAGGGAGACCAAAGTTGGAGGCAAGGTCCTCTGCTTCCAAAATGAAGTTTAGATTGAAGACTTAGCCTTCTACTCTAAACAACTATACAACTGGGAAAAAATATACAGAGAAACTGTTCTCAGGCATGGGGCAACAGAAAGTACAGGTTTGTGACCACTGAGAGAAGGGAAATGATTGGGATGGTTTCCACATTCAACCCAGATTTCTGCCTGGGACACATTTCTAATCATGGCATAGAGAAGTGGAGCCCAGACAGATAGTAACTGCTTCACTAGGTAGAGAAAATAGAGTTTAGAGTTTGCAGATACTTGAAGTGGCTGAAATTTGTGAATTAAGATCCTGAAGAAGAAGAAGAATCTGTGGAAAGTTGAATAAGATTCCCTGAGTTTTTAGTCCAATATAAGCTGCACATGCTCAGGATGAGTCTGAGACCTGGCAGAAGAGAGCTAATGGGAGGTAGCATATTGCTTACAGATGCTGGGGCTCTGATCTACCACAGTGGAGAGACCTTGTGGAACACACCAGGAATTCAGTAGGGACCCCAGAAAAGTCACACCTTAAAAAAGGAATAGGGTACTCTAGCTTCTACAGTAGGGACTGCTCTAGACCTGCACTCTAAAATCCTAAATCAAGTTTCAACAAATCAGACTCACCTGCCAATAATATTAACTACATCCCAGAACAAAACTCAAGAGAATGCAGGAGGCTTCCTACAACGACATATTCTATGTCCTCTCACAAAAGGGATAATTATATTGCTCTGAAGATCAGTGAGTGATCTATGAGTTAGAAGAAGCTGGAAGTAATGTGCAATCACTGAACTGATGGAAAGCTATTAGAGGCAGAGTGGCCAAGAGAATACCAGTGGGCGATTTTTCTGTTTCTGCCATGGCCAGTGACTTACTGGGAAATTAGGTGCAAATTTAACTTGCTCTCTTCTAGGATATGGCATTATTGAGGACAGGAATCTCAATAATAAACGAAACTCAACATAGGGCAGTAGATTTTTCTACCCCTTAATTTCAGTTCTCTATCTCCAGGATCTAAGTCAATGACAGACATAAATATTTGTTGAATCAATAGTGCTTTCAGAAAAGATTTTAGGCAGAGAAAGTAGGGAAAAGGATGTTGCAGTAGCTCAAGCAAGAATTGATGATGGTTTAGACTGGGGTCAAGGCTATGGGGATAAAGAGGAATGGAAAGATTTGAAAAATGTTTCCAAGAATTTACTGAGCTTGTTTGGCAGTGTGTACAAGAGGGCAAGGGAGCTGTGCAGGAGGAAGCCCAGGGTCTGGTGTGGCCATACACTCACCGTATGCTGGTGCTACCCACTGAGAGCAGAATCGGGAGCAACAGCAAGCCTGGAGCAGGTTTTAGAAAGAGAAAGGTGGGTTTAGTTTCAGACATTTTGGGTTCAGAGTAGCTGTAGTGTATCTAAGTGGATACATCTGGTAGGCAGTTGGATATGTAGGACTGAAGCTCAGGGGCAGGTGTGACTTTCAGATATGTCTGCATTCCAACAGCAGACACAATTCAGGGTCAAACTGGAAACATCATTATATGGACTTAATATTTTTACTTCAATGCTTGTGATAGTTCATCTTTATTAGGATTAATTATTTCATATATCTGTCCTCTCTATCCTCCACTTCAGCCCTTAGCTTCAGATAAAAAATTGTCAAAAGAGAGTTTTGACTGACAAAAGGGAATTCTACTCCTGTCCTACTGGACCAATCACTGTGTTCAGGTAACTGAAGAACAATGATGGACCCAACTAGATTCATCCACTGTAGAGGAGCAGTGCCTATGGGGACAGTTCTGTAACTGCAGGATCCCCATTAGAACCCCCTGGTGCAGTGGGAAATGATCAAGTCCCAAAAAGAAGAAAAGTGAGTTATTCCTCCTGCGTATGTTGGTACTGGACAGAAAAAACAAGAGAAACACTGCATCATCTAACCTTAACTATTACTTGTATTAGAGGTGTTGTTTTAAAGATTCCACAGTATACAGCTTGAAATCTAGCTCTCAAACTCAAATCCCAACTGACTTTATTGAGAATCATGTATGAAGTGACATTTGGGAGGACAGATTGTGGAGAAAGTAAAGGAAACCTTATAAGCTTATACATTTATTTGCTCACTGTGTAACTCTAATATTCTCTGTTAGATTCTGGTGAAGCTCTGTAACATTTTACATACTGATTCCCTGGCAGAAGTTTTGCAGTGGCTGGCTAATGCAAGTTCAAAAGGTGAGATTTAAAATAAGCATTTACAAACACTGAGCTCAGTTTATTGTCAGAAACTAGGAATGTGCCAATATCTGAAGTTTTCTACCTTGGATTTGCAAAAATGAAGTTGCAGTATTATTTCCATAGTGTTTCAGTATCACAGTCTTTGCAGTCCTGTATGTCTAACTGCAGGCAAGCTGGTCATTCGATGCCCCAAGTTTGGTATGCCCTCTGAAATTATCTGAGTGATGTGAGACACTGTGTCCAGGGCTGGTCTGTGCTTCTCCTGTCTGTACACCCAGGACCCTCCCTGAGCATACCTTCTGGCCTCCTATGAACTGGGAACACAGAGCTCGTGTCCTGCCTTTGATATAGATGACCATACACAAACATCCAAGCTCCAGGCTCTAGCAGTTCTGCCAATTCCCCACCAAAAGCATCAACTCAGTCACCTCCCAGCCTCCTTTAGGCCCTCCCTGACCTGTTCCATGAGAGCATATGCCAATCCCAAGAAAACTTTCCTTTCCACAACCATATGTAGCACAGAACAGCTACCCTCACACCTAGCTAATCATCAGACTGAAGCAAAACTTCAGACATGGGTGGGGCCTGAGAATTTGAATTTCTAACAAGTTCCCAGGTGATGCTGATAATGTCGGCCTGGGCACCAGTCTTTGAGAACACTGCCCTAATTGAAGTTAGGAAATACCAATGCGTTAGGAACAGATGAGCATTTTAAATGGAGAGCATTTTGGAAATAGCACCTTACCCCAGGAAATCAAGACGACTTGGCAGGCAGTTGAGAAGTACTTTGGGGTAAGAAGGCTTTAGTTATTCTTTTTTTCCTTTTTAAGAATGTAACTTTAAAAAAATTACACAGGTAATAAGTTCTTATTGTTTGCAGAAAGGTGAACGAGAAGGAAAATAAAACAACAATAATCAATAAAGTCACGTACACCATTTCAATGAATACTTTGGTGTGTATCTTTCTGGATATGCTTGTAGCTACTTATTTAACTATTAACCTGTACTTGAATGGAATCCCATTGTATTTATAACTATATTGTGCAATGATATGTGCATATTGTATTAGAAACAAAGTTGATTTTCACACCAGAACGCTGGATAAAAGACCGAATTCTGTGTTTCTAGCCAATATGATAATCACAACCTTCATGCCTCTCCCCCCTTTTTTTAAACCAGAAAAAGAGTGGGTCTCAGCTTTGATTCATGCTGAGCTGGCTGAGATGAACTTTCTGTCTCTGCACCAAAAAGGCACCTCGGCAGAACCAGCAGCAGAGACTCGGAAGCCATCCAAAGTTAAATCGCCCCCAAATTCACCCACAGAACCCAAGGTGCTGACCAGATCTAGGAAAGAACATCAACTGACCAGGTAACTAGACACAGTTGGCCACCTGGAGGGCGGGCATATGGTTCCTAAAGACTGAATTCTCTTCCTTTGTTGTCTTTCAGTATAGTTAACATGCTGTGGTCTCAAGTCTCCTTTTTATTCAATCAATGTGTATTTGTTTTCTTTCATTTTCATAGTCATAATCATTCTACATCCTATTGTTCAGAGTATTTTGGCAGGGGCTATGTCTTCCTTACCTAACAACCTTTCTGTTTGAGAAAACTTCCCTTTCCACTAAGGCAAAGCAAGAGGAGCCACCTAGAAATCTAAGAAAATGTAGGGTTTTTTAGTGTACCCAAAACTGAAAGCAATAGGAAAACTGAAATTGTATCACTATTGTATACTTTGTTAAATGCGTATCACATAAGTATTACTTTTGTGTGTATAACAGTGTTAAAATAAATAGCTTCACTTAGCTTTCTCTGACATACCCCTGGGGGCTGCCAGATGGAAAATTACCAATTAAGATAATTGGAAATTATTACAGTAGAAATTCTTCTTAAACCTTGTAATTTCAGTGATGGAGGAAAATATATATTTGTGTATAACAACATGGTAAAAGAATGTGGTATTTTATTTAAGCTGGGAGATAAGTTCTTGCTTTAAAATTAAAAGCTGGGTAAAGCTTAAATTCAGAGAAAATAAATATTCAAAACACATGTCACTTTAAAAAGCATTAAGACAGAGATGAATTTTGTGTTGCAATTTGTTTCTACCTTAAAGTTTCCAGAAGTCTCTACCTTAGTGAATAATACATGATGTATTGTTTAAATTTTAACTCGAAGTCAGAGAATTTTTCATTGGAAAGTAACATTTAATACTGTTGCATTCTAAACCAAAGAATTGGGATAGTATACTTAAGATATATATATATATATAAAATTTGGCATACTGATAATGCAGTCTATAGAAAACCCTTGTATCTGTGAATTTCATTTTCTCTTTCTCCAATTGATTCAGAGTGTCAACTCAAGGATCTGAAGGAAGTAAGAAGTGCCAAAAGGTTAAGTACACTTTGTGGTAATTATTGAGTTGGTATAAGGAAACCAGTAAGTATCTAACTGGTTAGGACACAGATATTAAGGATCGATGGTTTTAATGACAGCAAAATAGTCATTTCCAGCTATTCTTAAGGGACAGCATCTGCTGAATTTTTCAGAATTTTATAGAGATAAATTTGACATAAGTTTAACTTCATTTTGAAAGGCAAAGTGCCTTATCAGGGACAGATACTCCTTGAGAAGCAAGAAAGCAGGACAGCAGGAATTCTAGGCTTGACTATGTCAATCCTGTGGTAGGAAAAGCCCTGCACTGACCTACCAAATAGACAGCGACTCAGTTATGGTTCTTAACAGCTTAGCTGTCATTGAGCTAAATGATTTTCATTAGTGACAAAGTCAACCAGAGAAAAGGGTAAAAGAAGCAGATGACACACAATACAAAAGAAAGAAGTAGTTTTGTGTCCCCAGCAAAACCGTAGCCCCAGCCTACACTTTGGACCAAGAAGAATCAAGAATTGTGGAAAGTCCTATTTTGGTCCAGAAAAGCCCAACTGAAACATCCCTGTGGGTTTGGCAGTTCTTAGCTTTAAAACAAGCATAGCAAAAATGACTGTAGAGCAACGACTCTGAAGAAGGTCGACAAGCCTCCAATGAAAGTCTATTGTTATTTCAACAAGTTCCCCATATACCAAGAATGATACGGTAATCAACGAGAGTTCCTTCAGATCAGTGTACAATCCAGCAGGTTCCACTGGGGTTAACCAAATCTAAAAGAGGCTCTATCTGCTAATAGGCAATAGTAGGTGTAGTTAAGAAATTATAAAATATTCCTTTACTGACATTCCAGGGATGGTCTACTGTATCTGCCTTCTCCTACCAACTTTTCTCTCTAGTACTACAAAATCATGACTGTGATGTTTTCTATTATTCAACTTGATATCTTACCTGTTCGCCTCAAATATATTTTACCATTTAGATATTTGGAAGTATTTGTATAAGAATCCCCAAATCATACACCTTCGTCTTCAGTGTCAATACTCAGTATCTCCCCAAATCCTTATCCTGCTTAAGTGTGATCATGAAGGCCTTGGAAGGTCTAATGAGCACAATTAACTTGTTTTAACCTGCTTGTCTACCTCCTTTTTTTGTCTATCAGGACCATAGATCCTTCTTTCTCTCATTGGTTCCATCCTTGACTATAACCTTTACCCATCACCAGCTCTAATGCATTCCTATCAACATAATGTTTGATTCTAAGAGGAAAGAACATATCCTGCATGTTATAGAAAAAAATAATTCATTAAAGATGAGCAGGTGGTAAGGAAGAAAAATGAGAATAGATGCTTTTATAAATTTTGGGTGTATTTGATTGATCTAAATTTCTAGTTTTTTTTGTCATTTGCTATTAAAACATGACAGAAGCCATATTCAATGTCTCAATTACGGTCTTATTTAGATTTTTTCTACTTCAGAGGCTGAGCACAAGCCTCCGTTGTTTATAAGAAGAAATAAGATGAAAATACCTGTTGCAGAGTATTTCAGCAAACCAGCCTTCTCCCACACCTAAAACTCAGGCGAGCATATCAACAAAAGGAGTCTTCAACAAGGATACAATCTCCCCAAAGAGCACTTTATCCTTAAACATACCAAAGGTAGACATTCTAGACTGGGCTAATTCTTTCATAAACATACTTGGGTACAACTTTAACTATTTAAAAAAAATATTTTGGTATTTAGGAATCATCTCTTCTATATGGTGACACATGTAAATCACAAAGCACCTGTATATAATGGTACTAAATAAAAATGGAGACAATATTTTTATTTATAATTTTTATGCCACGTGTAATAGAAATACATTTATATACTACATTTCCAGTCTTACACTATTGTCTAGGTAGATAAGTATACAGCCCTCATACTAGAAAAACAAACCAGAGTAAAAAACAGGCAGTTACAACACCTGCCCCAAAGTCTGATAGAGAAAATAACAAAACAGAATTTTAACATCTGAGCTAATTTTTGCAATCTACAGTGTTTCAATGTTGTTGGATTATTTTGGAAAAATGCTCACCTCCCACCAAAAAAGATATGAGAATTATCCCTAATTTAATTCAGTTAGATGATGGCTTTTTCCATTTTATTATCACTTAAAAAACCCCTAGATCTTGGATGTAGTGCTATGTTTTACAATATTCCTATTTTTTATTTCATTGATCTCTCCTTTCACTTTTTTTTTAAATTTTTTAATTTTGATATCATTAATGTACAATTACTTGAACACAATTATGGTTGCTAGACTTCCCCCATTATCAGGTTCCCCCCACATACCCCATTACAGTCACTGTCCATCAGTGTAGTAAGATGCTATAGAATCACTACTGTCTTCTCTGTATATACTGCCTTTCCCATGTCCCCACCCCTACATTATGTGTGCTAATCGTATTGCCCATTTTCCCCCTTATCCCTCCCTTCCCACCCACCCTCCCCAGTTCCTTTCCCTTTGGTAACTGTTAGTCCATTCTTGGGTTCTGTGAGTCTGCTGCTGTTTTGTTCCTTCAGTTTTTGCTTTGTTGTTATACTCCACAGATAAGTGAAATCATTTGATACTTGTCTTTCTCTGCCTGGCTTATTTCACTGAGCATAATACCCTCTAGCTCCATCCATGTTGTTGCAAATGGTAGGATTTGTTTTCTTCTTAATGCAGAATAATATTCCATTGTGTATATGTACCACCTCTTCTTTATCCATTCATCTACTGACGGACAGTTAGGTTGCTTCCATTTCTTGGCTATTGCAAATAGTTATCCTGCGATAAACATAGGAGTGCATATGTCTTTTTCAAACTGGGCTGCTGCATTCTTAGGGTAAATTCCTAGGAGTGGAATTCCTGGGACAAATGGTAGTTCTATTTTGAGTTTTTTGAGGAACCTCCATACTGTTTTCCACAATGGTTGAACTAGTTTACATTCCCACCAGCAGTGTAGGAGGGTTCCCCTTTCTCCACATCCTTGCCATCATTTGTTGTTGTCTGTCTTCTGGGTGTTGGTCTTTTCACTCTTTTATTTCTTTGTTTCTTTAGGTTTGTTCTTGTTCTAATGTCTTGAGTTGGATGTTATTAATATAGTTATAGTCTGTCATTCTCATTCATCAGCATGAGTTTTTAAGGTGGGATTTATAGTTGGAATGCAATGATGGCTTAATATACAAAAATCAATATAATATAACACATTAACAAATGAAGAACAAAAAATCACATCATTATCTCAATCAATGCATAAAAAGCATCTGACAAAATTCAGCATCTTTTCATGATAAAAATACTCAACAAACCAGGAATAAAAAGAAACTGCCTCAACATAACAGCCGTATATGAAAAGCCCATAGCTAACATTGTATCCAATGGGGGAAAGACTGAAAAGTTTTCCACTAAAATTAGAAACAAGGCAAGGATGCCCACTCTCATTGCTTCTATGTAATGCTTCTCAGTGCTTCTATATTACTGACGCTCTAGCTAGAGCTACTGAACAAGAAAAAAATTAAAAGGCATACAAATTGGAAAAGACAAAGGGGGAAGAAGATAATTAAAGTGATCTCTCTTTGCAGATGACATGATACTACATGTAAAAAAACCCTAAAGATTCCACAAAAAATCCTGTTAAAACTAATAAGGTAATTCAGTAAAGTTGATGACACAAAAACACTCAAAGATTAGTTGCATCCTGTGTACTAACAATGATCAATTCAAAAAGGAAATTAAGAAAAAAATCCCATTTATTATAGCATCAAAAATGGTGAAATACTTAGGAATAAAGTAACCAAGGAGGTGTGAAAGACTTGTCACTGAAAATTATAAAATATTCGTGAAAGATACAAAATAAATAAAACCATGGAAAGACATCTCATAACACTCATGAACTGAAAGACAGTATTGTTAAAATGTCCATGCTACACAGAGATCTAAAAATTCAATGTAATTCTTATCAAAATCCTAGTGACATTTCTTGCAGAAATAGAAATAAATATAAAACTCATAAGGAATTTCAAATGACCCTGAATAGCCAAAAAAATTTTGAAAAAGAAAAATTTGGAAGCCTCACATTCCGATTTCAAAACATGCTTCAAAGCAACAGTAATTAAGATAGTGTAGTACTGGCATAAACAGACATATAGATCAATGGAACAGAATAGAGACCCCAGAAATAAGCCCTTGCATACATATATGGCCAAATTACTCTCAACATGTGCCAAGACTGCACAATGGGGAAAGGACAGTCTTCTTCAACAAATGGTAATGGGCCAACTGGATTCTACATGCTGAAAGAATACATTTACCTTACACCATTCACAAAATTAACTTTTTTATTGAAGTATCAATATACAATCATATATTGGTTTCAAGTATACAACACAGTGGTTCAACCATTACCCCTATTATTAAATCCTCACCCCCACTAGTGTGGTTACTATGTACCTGCATAGGAAGATGTTACAGAATCATTGGCTATATTCTCCATGTACTACCATCCCCATGATCAACTTGTATTATGATTGAGAATTTCTGTGTCCTTTTATCCTCCTCACCCTTCTTATCCAACTACCCCAACCCCTCCCCTATAGTAACCACCAGTCACTTCTCAGTGTCTATGAGTCCACTGCTATTTTGTTCCTTCTGTTTTTGCTATGTTTTCATATTCCACAAATAAGTGAAATCACATGGTATTTGTTTTTCTCCACTTGGCTTATTTCACTTAGACTAATACCCTCTAGGGCCACCCATATTGTTGCAAATGGATGGCTTTTTTATGGCTGAATATATTCCACTGTGTATATATGTACCACATCTTCTTTATCCATTCATCAATTGATGGATACCTAGATTGCTTCCATAACTGGGCTATTATAAATAATGTGGTGATAAACATAGGGGTGCATATATCTTTTTGAATCAGGGATTTTGTTTTCTTCACGTAAATTACTAGATCTTCTTTATCCATTCATCAATTGATGGATACCTAGATTGCTTCCATAACTGGGCTATTATAAATAATGTGGTGATAAACATAGGGGTGCATATATCTTTTTGAATCAGGGATTTTGTTTTCTTCACGTAAATTACTAGAAGTGTAACTACTGGGTTATATGGTATTTCTATTTTTAGTTTACACAAAATTAACTTTAAACTTGATTTAAGACCTAAAACTATAAAAGAAAAAATAGGGGAAAAAATTCAGGACACTGAATTGATAAGTGATTTCTTGGATATGCCACCAAAAACACAAGCAACAAAATGTTGGTGGGAATGTAAAGTGTTACAGATATTACGGAAGAGAGTTCCTTTTGATGAACAGAGGTTCCTCAAAAGTTGAAAATAGAATCACCATATGATCCAGCAAACCCACTTCTGGGTATTTATCAAAATGATTAAAAGCAGGATCTCGAAGAGATATTTGCACACTAGTGTTCATTGAAGCATTCATTATTCGAAATAGCCAAGAGGTGAAAGCAATCCAAATTCCCATCAACAGATAACTGGATAAAGAAAATGTGATATATACATAGAATAGAATATTATGCAGCCTTAAAAAATTGTTATATACTACAAATGGAGGAACTTTGAGGACATTATGCTAAGTAAGCCAGTCACAAAAGGACAAATACTAAATGATTCTACCATATGAAGTACCTAAATTAGTCAAAATCATAGAAATGGAAAGTAGAAATTTGGTGAACAAGGGCTAGTGGGATTGGGGAGAAGGAATTAGTGTTTAATGGATATAGAGTTTCAGTGTTGTATGATGATTAAGTTACAGACCTGTCGCACAATGTGAATATACTTAACTGAACTGTACACTTAAAAATGGTTAAGATGGTAAATTTAATGCTGTTTTTGACCATAAAAAAATAATGGGAAAGCATAGAAGACTTGAACAACACAGTTAACAAGCTTCATAATAATGGGAAAGCATAGAAGACTTGAACAACACAGTTAACAAGCTTCATAATCAGTATTACCTCATTTTTAGTTCTCTACAAAGAGTCTGTGTAATATTATTTGCTTTTGGTTGTTTCACAGATATGCTTCACAGACATAACATTTAGTCCTAGATTTTAAAATACTAAATCAATTTACTTAGAGTTACAAGATTCTTTGGGTTTTTTTTTTTTTTGAGTTATTGGTAATTTTTTTTTTCACAAAACTTCATACGAACTTTTAAGTGCAAGGATATGAAGTATTTTATAATAACCATTTGTTTCCAATTTAATACTCCACTGTTCATTTCCATGTGCCTTCTTTCTTAAAAATTTTAAATTTTGCCGTTAATCTATTGTGTCTTTTCAAGGAATGGATTTTTGCCTTCAGCCTCTTTCTGTATCTTTTATTATTGCTGATATCTTTATTTCCCTCCTTCACTTTGAGTTGTTTTTTTTCTTACTTGTTAAATTACACACATAGCTGAATAATGCCAGTCTTCCTTCTTTTTCTAACTTAACCAATTTAGGTTGTCAATTTTCCTTTAAATGTTGCTTTAGTAGTCTACAAGTTTTAAAAGTTTCATTAAATTTACCTCTATTTTCTGATTTTCATTGTTTTCTTCTGTGACCCATAAGTTGTTTAAAAGCTATTTTTGAGATTCCCAAACATGATGTTTTTCAAACTTGTTATATTTTTAAATGATTTATAACTTAATTGCATTTTGGTCAGATGTGATCTATAAAAAGGACCAATCCTTTGATTTTCTTGATAGCTCTGGGGCTTAGCATATGGTCACCTTTATAAATGCTTTCAACCTGCAGAATTTGATATGTCAATTATACCTACCTTATTATAGCATTTACATCTCCTGTTTTTTGTCCACTTATCACAGGTGGGAAGGATGAATTAAACTCTTCTTATACTAATGCATGTCTTACATTTTCATGTAATTCTTAAAGTTTTTTTCTCAAAGAATTTGAATACTATGCTACTTGGTGCATAGATCTGTGTAGATCTTCGCACTAGGGACATTCTTGAGCATTACAACATCCCCTTCTTTTCTTTAATTGCAGTGATGAACTGTACCCAATGTTAAAATTATGACTTCTGTATCTATTAATAGTCCAATACGCTTTTCACTCTTCTTTTATTTTCAACATTGCTGAATAATTTTATTTAAATACAGCATATATTTAGGTTTGGGGTTTTTTAAAAAATCCAATTTGAGTCATTTTAGACTGTATTTGTTGATAGGACAAAGAGGTTTTATGTAGTTGTCATTTTATCTTAGCATTGTTTTATTGCTTTTTGAAATGTTTCACTAAATGATCTGATTTCCATATTTTGTTTAATAAGTATTCATTCTGGTAAATTAGGAAGTTTGCACTTAAAAAATCTTATCTAAACCTCAGGAAGCAGAGTCTGAAACAAAGGCATATATATTATTACTTTTTAGGGAGACAGTGTCAAAAAGGAAGAGTGAGAAACAAGGAAAATGGGGCAAAAAATAAATGTCAATATGAGAAAGTATCAAGTTAGCCTCTGCTTGGTTTCAAACCAATTGATTGCTCAACCCTTAGAGATAGGATAAATGGGATAACATTCGCATTTTTACCAATGAGACACTGAGACTTACAGAAGTTAGTAAGTTGTCCAAAGTCATCCAACTAGCAAATGACAGTGCTAAAACTGAAGCCTGTTCTTTCTACTAACTGTATTATCACTTGATTATGCCACTGGTTCTCTCCTTCACGTTTAAGTGCCTACTGTATGTGTCTGGCAAAGAGCTAGGAAAACAAAGATAAACACTTCCATAATGATTGAGATCAAAGTTTAATAAGCATTATAGGCCATTGTAGTCATTATTCTAATCCCTGCCATCCTTGTTTTTTTATGGTTGTTTTTAAGTTTTTTAATAAAGTGTCTCAATAAACCAAAACAATGTTGAGAAAAGAATATATTAAAACAAGAAAAAAATTACTATTATTAAAAAAAAATTTAATACCTCAGAAATTAGTTATTTCTAATTGTAATATTCACCTTCTTGAGGTACAGGTTCTATACCTCATCATCAACAGCCTAAATAAGACTTGCAGTAGATAGAGTTGTGTTCACCAAAAAGATATGTTCAGGTCCTAGTATCTGGTACCTATGGCTGTGACCTTATTTAGAAATAGGGTCTTTGTAGATGTACTTAAAGTACTGGATTAAGGCTAACTCTAACCCAATGACTGAAATCCTTAGAAGAGGGACATAGGAACAGGCATGGCAGACAGAGGTAGAGGCCATGTGACACAAAGCAGAGGCTGGAGTGATGCAGCTGCAAGCCAAGAAACATCAGGATTGCTGGCAACCACCAGAAGTTAGGACGAGGCTAGGAAAGACTCCTCCCTATAGCCTTCAAAGGGAGCATGCTCTTAACACCATCTTGGTGCTGGATTTTTAGCCTTCAGAACTGTAAGAGAATAAATTTCTGTTGTTTTAAGCCACCCAGTTTGTAGTGATTTGTTATGGCAGACCTAGGAAACTGATAAAGGGCTTTTGTAATTAGTGAAAATTAAACTAAATAGTGCCTATAATGATTTTCTCCACCTTTCCAAAATTAAACTATGCCTTATTCCATATGGAACAATTTAAGTAAAGGGCACAATATTTCATGCTACTAAACCATACTTAGGAAAAAACTGAAGCTTTGAAAACTACAACTTAAGATATCATAAGTTTTCTTCTTCCAGAATTGTAGGGGATTTTCTTTATTTACGTACCTTTATTCACATACCTTACTTTAAATGGATCACAGAATAAAGCAGTAAAAAAAAAGACAGCGACATTAGTACTAAGTACAGTGACCTTTCTATCAAATGTGTATATAATTTCAGATGCCAGGGAGTAAAAACAGCAACTTAATTTATCTAAACTCCGTGAAGGATTCTGAAATCTTAACTTGAGCTATGGCAAAGAACAACCACTTGGAACCTAACTGGTCTACATTTACTGTTGGAAGCTAAAACATCTCGTTAGGCCCCTCTTCTCTTGCTAATATCCTCAAACAAATGTTTAGTTATGGATATTTGTACTTTATGAAATTCAAACTCCTTAGCGTTCAACATAACCTTCACATAAATGCTACTGATGCATGCCAATTTCATCCTATTATTAATAACTGAGGATCATATATATGGACAAACTATACAATTATATGCATATTTTCATACATGTTTATATTATTTAGAAACATACATTTATATTAGCTTGAATATTATTATATGATAGTATAGACAGATAAATATATATAGTTAGTTCCATTCACTTTAAAAATCAACAGACATTTTACTTAAGTATATATGGAAGGAAAAGACAACTGCTAAAAGCTGCTTCTTTTTAAATTTAGGTAAAGACAAAATAGATCCCTCAGTAGCCTTTTAAAATAATCTAGCCTGAAAAATTAAATTTTTAATTGAAATAATGTACCACCATTACTGGAATTAAGACATACATATTAAAAAGATGGTTAACTCTTCAGTGGTTGCTTTAGAACCACATGAAAGCATCACAAAGGAGAACGGAAACAGGCTCCATAGTCCAAAAAAAACAAATTGTTGAGTTTATTAATCTGATACTTCTTCCAAAAATCACTATATTCCTTTGAAAAAACTAAATTGAATATAAAAGCTGCAAACAGAAGGTTACCTCTCATACAGAACATTTTGGTAGACTTAAAGGAGACTTGTGATTATCTGCCTCCACAAAAAAGAGTACACAATGTGTCAGAAAGACATAAGACATATAAAAGGTGATATAAATACTAAAATTAAAATGTCAGAAGGTACATTCTGAAGAATACAATCCAGAAAATAAAAGAGAATGAAGGTTTACCAATAAAGGAATATTCTCAAGAAACTCTTATTTGAGGCTTAGAAAACTCTTTTTAAAATTACACATTTAAATCTCATGCAAACCAAAAATGCTTTCTTATATGGCTTATTTATCACTTAGCTCTAAAAAAAGCTTTAAAAACAGCAGAAATAAGAAAATGAAATTTTCTTCCAATTCAGACAGTCTATGAAGCAGCTCATTTTCTACCGAACTTTTCCTTAAATTAAAAAAGAAAACAAAACCAGATGACATTAGTATGGTACAGCGTTCACTGTAGACTCAGTGCTATTTTCTATATCCTGCTTTTCTTCTTCATGTGGTGAATCTAGCTCATTTCTGCTATCTTCCTCGTCACTGGAATCACTGTCCAAAATACCTTCAACTCTGGCATACGTCTTGTCATTCAAAGAACTTTCACGGGTTTTGTCTGTGGGAACAGCTCCTTTCCGTTGAGGTAATATAGTGAAAAATGCTTCTTGCCAGTCTCTTGTTTCCAGGTATTCCAGAATAATCTCAAATACTGCAACAAAGACAAACTCCATACATTTCTTAGCTAAGGCTCATCACTATGTTGCATACTGTATTTTAAAACACATTGCTTTTGTGTGAAAGTGTGCTCATGCATCCTAATAACTACGTGGTTCTTACCACCTCCTTCTCCTGTTGGCTCTTAGAGCCAACATGCCCCAAGGTTCTCAAGCCTGTTACCTCTTTTCTAGCTTTCCCTCAATTCAGTTCTTAAGCACTCAGGAGGTTTACGATTATCCTTTGTCAACTGAAATCAACAGAGCACCTTTTTCATTTCTTTCCTATTCTTATCCTTTTCTTACCCTTCTTTATTCTTTGTGTGCTAACATAAAACTAGAAAAAGTTTAACATTAATCTAAATTTTTTTCTATCTTTCGTAAAAGAGCTACTCACTCTGGGAAGCATCTTGCCTGCTTTTTATTTTTTTTAATATTAGAGGTAAAGAATATTAATATTGTCTCCAAGGTACTCTCACTTTCATACACTGCTGAAGGGTTAATTTGGATCACTTTATGGAAAAGTAATTTCACCTATCAAAGGTCTTAGAACAAGTTAATTTTGTGAAATTAGTATGTTCATTCCTATAGCTCCCTAGAGCCTGCTATAGAGAAGGTGTTTAGCACATAAAAGGAGACCAATAAATAATTGTATATTAATAGAAATTTCTACTGAACATTTTTTAAAAAGCAAAACCTGAGGAGAAGAGTTAGGTCCAAGAATGTCTATTATAATAGTAAAAAGAAAAAAAATCAACAGGGGAATGGTTACATTATTGTATATTCAGATGTTGGACTACCCCATAGCCATTAACAATGATTCAATGACATGGAAAAATATAAATGCGGGGGAAAGCTCCCCCAATTTAGAACATTTCATTTTATACAATAGAGTAAGAATCCACTTATATAATAAATAGTATTATATATGCATAGGAAACCAACTGGAAATTGGTTATAGGAAGGAAATACCAAAAAGTTAATACCAAGTATCTCTGGGTAGTAAAATTACAGCTCATTTTTCTTCATACTTTTCTATGTTTCCAAAGCTTTCTAAAATATGCATGTATTATTTTTATATTCAATTTTTAGATGATTACATTTTACAATTTTGTCTCCAGCAAGATATATATTTTCTACTTGTCCAAAATGTAAATGTAATGTTATTTTCACAATGCTCACTCAGGAATTTCTTCAGTTGATCCCCTTATAGCTTACCATGATTAACTGCCAAAACTCTTCTACTATTCATCTTCACAAAATTTCCAAGGGGAAGCTGTGCATGATCAATTCCATGATCTGATGCTTGTTTATATGTGAGTCCCTAAAACAAAGACACTATAACTTGGACTAGAACATCAAATTATTTTAACTTAAAGTCTATGACAGAATAATTTTTAGAAAAGACTTTAGTTCAGAAAATATTATCTGAAGAAGAGTATGTGTGTACGTATTTAACTGCTAATTTGCAAACACTCTCTTGATGAGTATAGTCAGACTATCCAGGGCATCTGCTTTAACCAGTTAACAAATGAGGAAACCAAAGACACTTCGGTCCCTGACTTGTCACAGAGCTCCTCAGTGGCGAATCACAGGAAGAACCTGGCTCATGCCTCCTGACTCAAATACCCGTTCACCACTAACACCACTCTCAGTATAAGGTACTGATACTCAAACTGAATTCCTAGAGACACACCATCACTCTTCTTATGGATGCCAAAGACAGAAGATATAGCTGCATTTCAATTATCTAACACTAAAAGGCACAACTGGCAAAGACAAATGAAAACCTAATGGAAAAAATCTTAGTTTGCCTATAAATTTTATTTGTCCCTTTGTCAAAAAAAAATGTTGAATATGAAAATTTTCTCTTCTCAAAATTAAAATACTCAAAGCCTGGGTCTAACCAGAACTGAAGTAGCCAAAAGACAAGTACAGGAGAAAGGACTAAATTTCTCAATGAGTAGCTTTAGGGATGAAGAATAACATATTGAGGGAGGTGCTTTTGAAAACAAAATTGTTTTAGTTTAGAGAACCATACAACATGAAGAAAAAAAAATCTGGTTCTATATTAAGAACGAAATAGTATTTTCTCACTAAAAAAAAAATAAAGAGGCTAAAGATCATTCTGGTCAAACTCTCTATGATGCCATAGAGCTGTACTATCCAATTGTAGCCACATGTGACTAAATTTAAACTGATCACAATTTTTAAAAATTCAGTTTCTCAATCATACTGTACACATTTCATGTGCTCAAAAGCCACACAGCTACCATACTGGACAGGATGATATAAACATTTCAACACTGCACGAAGTCCACTTGCACAATGGTGATATCCAAGAATAATGAATTACTTCACATCATTTTGCTGACAACATTTCCTCAGACACTTTGTAAAACATGTTTTTTTCTTTAGTTGGGTTGACTTTGGTATGTATCAAGTAGCTGGCAAAGTACAAAATTATATTTGATTTTAGAAAGTGTACTTTTGTAAATTTTTATTTGAATGAGGCTAGAGAGGTAGGAAGAGACAAAAACATGAATACAAGAGAATAGAAAACACATCTCATGAAAATCACACATTTAAAAACTGGTATAAACTTACCAGTTGGCATAAATTTTGCTATAAATTTTACCAATGGCCTAGACATTGATTAGCAGCATATTCTATCAATATAGCAGATTGTTTAGGCATATGGGCTCTGGAACAATCTGCCTCATTTCAAATATCTGCTTTACTATCTATTACAATTGATCAAAGACTTAATTTTTCTCCGCCTCCAGTTCCTCATCTGTAAAATGTCGTAATAGCAGCACTGACCTCACCGAGTTGTAGTGAAGATTAAGCAAACTGGTAATGTATGTGAAATGCCCTGCTTATCTAGAAAGGTGACTGAAAAAAACATCAGCTATCATTAGTTGTATTGTTACTATTGAGAAAATAAGTATTTCAATTTTGAGTATGAGCAAAAGCAAAAAATAAAAGCTCAGTATCACCTTGTGATGGTTGTGATCTACTAATCCTCCAATCACATAGGCCTTTGACTCATCTAATTCCTTCAGTACCGTAGGTGAATCTGATGTAAGGTAGATCAGGTCTTCTTTTTTAATGAATTCACTATAGTGCTCTGGTTTGATGTGGATATCCTTTAAAAAGGACACAAGGGGAAAGAGGTTATTAATCAACAGAATTTTATGAAAATTGCCTAAAAAGTGATTATTTTCTTTTCCCTGCACAAACCCATCCAAAAACATATGAAAGGAAATTTGAAATATTGTTACAATGCATTATTTAGAGCCTACCACTTAAATTCCTTATCACCTCATACCCTGATGACTTACAGAGCCTCCTAATGTAATTTCTCTGTCTGCAGTTCCCTCCAGTTTACTTCCACACACTGATGGCACACTCATTTTTTGAAAACACTACTTTCCGTGTTTTGCCTTAATCTGTAGGATAAAATTCAAACTCCTTAACTTAGTAACTCTTTCCTGGATATGGTACTGACCTACCCTTGTAATGTCACCTCTGTTCCAAGAAAACAAATGCATTTTAGTCACACTTGCTCACGCTGTTCTCCAGCCACAGAATGCCTTCTCCAATGACCTCCTCTCCATCTGCATGACTCACCAAACGGAAATGCTTAAAGAGTTAATAAATTCCATGCATCTGTTTCTACGAAGATATACATTTGAAATCTTCTGCACCAAAGCTGTCAGGTCAGAGGTAACAGACTGAACAACAGTTGACAGAATTTTGCAAACTCTATTGGAAGTATATAGGAAGATGTATCACCAGGCTCACAGGGCATTTACCCAATAATTTTTAAGGAAATAAAAAATGAAACAGGAGACCTCTCAGCTAAAATGTATAACCTCTTGATTAATAAACAGTGACTTTTCTGGAAAATGGTATATTATAAATTTGACCCTTATGTTTAATAAAGGCCCAAGAGGGACCTGAGTAATTAGAGACCAGTGACCTCATGTCTCTCTGGAAAGCTGGTAGTAAATTTCACAAGCCATAAAATAACTGAAAAGTATGCCTATTCTAAATTATTACTTTATTCCTTAGGAAAATAGGCACACACATAAAACTTTGTAAATACACTGTATTCTGAAAATTTAAAAAGCCTTTGAAAATGTTTCACACTATGGCCTATTAATACAATAAATGCAATCATTAAGGAATTGGTGAGTCTGAGAGGGAAAGTTTGTCATGGCGAAAACTGGCTTTGAGAAAGAAGAAAAGTATAGGTATAGCCTAGTACTTCTCTGTAGAGGATAGGGTTTCTTAGGAATTGGTATGAAAGCCAATCTATTAGTTATCTTTACAAATGACTGAGAATGGTTCATCCCACTAGAAAAAAAAAGTGAGCCACATACATAATTTTAAAGCTTCTGGTAGCCACACTTAATAAAGAAATAGGTGAAATTAATTTTAATAATACATTGTATTCAATACAATATACCCCCCCAATTTTTCATTTCAACATATAATATTTTTAAAAATTTCAAAGAGACATTTTACATGACTTTTTTTATACTAAGCTGAAATACAAATGTATTTCACATTTACAGCATGTCTTAATTCAGACCAGTCACATTTTAAGAGTTCAACAGCCTCATGTGGATGGACAGTAGGCATCATCTGAGATAGCGCAGGTTTAGAAAAAACAGAATGCAAATACGTTTCCAGTTTTAGAATGACTTTACTCTCATAAACAATGTATAGCCAGTTTGCTAGGTAGAGACTGTATAAAGACATTAAAATTTTTCCTTTTTTAAAAAATGTTTTATAGATGGCAGTAAAATAGCAAATGAGATTAATTAGAGCATGTACAAACTGACAGAAACCTCAGTCTCTAACTTCTCCTTCATAACCTTCGACTTAGGTATAGTGATATACATGATTTGCAGACTGCTGATTCCTGTATTTATTAGCATTATGTAGAATTAATGTCAAAAAAATGTAGAATGTTAAGCATAAAAATACTTGGAATTTTGTGAGTTAATGTATTTAAATTACCTTCCAGTTGACCCATCCTTTGTCATTCTCATCCATGTTCTTTTTCAACTGCCCTCCATGGCTTGTCAAGTAAAACTGATAAAGAGGTTGGTAGGCACAGAAAGAGAAAGCAAATGAAAAAAATTAAAGTCCAATGAAGTTTGATACTGCCCTCATCTCAATATCAATGAAATAAAATATTTTTATTCTAGAAAAAAAATTGTGACACGCTTTAAAGATACAAGAATAAATTTGTGGTAGAAATGTTTTGTGTATCTCATAATCCATTAACTTCTGTAATCCACTACATTTTCATCCCATTTTTTTAAGTAGCTATAATCAGCCTCTCCCCTAATGACCACTTTTTTACAAACTCCGTTTCCATGTCAAGTTGCCTTCCCTTCTCTTTTGCCATCACTGCTACTTTTCTTTACCAGTCCAGAGTTTTCATGATTTATCTTTGGTTCTAAACCCTGACACCTGTTTCAAGTCTAATCAATTCTAATTAAGAATAATATGAAATGTAAAATTATAAAATTACTATTACTTGGTGCCAAATGATTTTCCTCATTTGTGGAGTATAACAATGAAGCAAAACTGAAGGAACAAAATAGCAGCAGACTCCAAGACTCCAAGAATGGACTAGTGGTGACCAAAGGGGAAGGGTGGGGAAGAGCAGGTGGGGAGGGAGGGAGAAGGGGGATTGAGGAGTGTTATGATTAGCACACGTGGTGTGGGGAATCACGGCAGAACAGTGTAGCACAGAGAAGGCACACAGTGGATCTGTGGCACCTTGCTGCACTGATGGACAGTGACTGCTTTGGGGTATGGGTGGGGACTTGATAATATGGGTAAATGTTGTAACCACATTGTTTTTCATGTGAAACCTTCATAAGAGTGTATATCAATCATACCTTAATAAAAAAATTACTATTACTTGGTAAAAACAAAGTATCGAACCAAAAACATATTAAGAATTTCAGGTTCTTAACATCAGTAAGCCAGTGTTAAGATCACCTAAAATTCATATCAATTCAGTAAGAAAAGGACCCTACTCTGAGAAGCAGCCAACTAATCTCACAAATCACTCCCTCACTCTAGCTAACGAACTATCTTTCAAAATGATCTGTGACTTGAAATCCTTTGAAACAACTACCTACCAGGTGCCACAGCACACATCAGGCAGGGGCAGTCCTGCCACTCCCAGAGGGAAAGAACTGAGAGCTGAGGAGCTTAGCTGTATGAAGATATGTGTATGTCCTTTAATGTAGATGTTGAGCTACACAGCTGTGAGCAGGTCAGTGTGTGCAAGACTGATGATGACTGTGCAGTGTGTTTCTGAGAATGACATGTGAGAAAATGTTTAAAATATTTTATTTTTGTAGGAAAATAAAGCATTTTTCGAATAGGCATTTTACTCTCTAAGGAAAATTATCTGTAAGGCTCTTGGCAAGGCAGCCAGGATTATCTACGCCTTTTCCTAAGATACAAAAGGAAATTAGAGTCTGTTTTAAATTCCTCAAACATACCTGCACAGGATGCAGTGCTCGTCGGTTTTCTGCATAGCATCGTTGAATCTGCTTGTGAAGTTTCTTAATGTCCTATAAAAGAGTGCAATTTTTAAAAAAGCATTTTCAATATCTCCTATGGCCATTCCAAAGCCATGGTGGAGCAGAACAAACAGAAGGGATAACTAGATAGGTATATTTTTTCTTTTGAAATACAAATCTTTTCTGGTAATTTCCATCCAATTTCCTTACATACTAAAAAAATAACTACTATAAGTAAAGTAAATATTGTGTAAGTGACCCATAATTACCTATTCTGTATACACTTAAAATACTAGTTCATGAATATATCCATTCTAAGAGACAAGAAAAGAACAAAAAACTCTCTTAGAGCCACACTATTGCTATTTTTATAGCTTACCAATGATTTGGAAAATAATTAAAACATGTTCTTTTCACCAGTATTCTTCAAACAACCAGGTTTCTCAAACAACTGAATAAAAAAATTCTATTAAGTCAATCATATTTCTTATTTTCTTTTTCTGATTAGAAATAACAAATAACAAAAAACACCCATAGATCTCTATGATTAATATAGTTATTGTTTTATAATTTAATTGTGGTCTCTCTTCCTCCCCCCTTTATCTGTACATACAAATATAAATAAAAGTAATTTATTAGTTAGTTTAATTTAAGGGGCACAGATTTTGAAAACTTGATTTTTAAGATGCATTTTGGTACATAAATTTACACCAAAGTGATATACATATTAAGAATTATTCAGCTTACTTTACCTACAGGATTTTTCTGACAATGATTCATGATACCTTTAATACCATCAAGCTGTCAAAACTGCAATCAATGATAAGGCGAAGTGTGCTATGGACAACATCTCTTCGAATACGTTTCCTGTCATTTCCATCTGAGTTTGATTCCAATTGACACTGTCGCTCCAATTGCTTTCTTTTGCGTTTTTCCTTCCGCTTTTGTCTAAAATTAGTAATTGAAATAACTTTTTGCTATTTGTATTTTCAGATACTTACAAGACTCTTCTAGATAGACAAACAATTGCCTTTTAAAATCATCAGGCTGAACCTTATGGAACTGCCACTTCTGTGGACCAAAAATGGTCAAAATCAGCAATTTTATATAATCCATCTAAAAGCTTTAGATAGGAGGGAAATGAGTTTGCAGAAACAATATAATGCTTTCTACAGAAATCCTAACTATACTAATAATGATCTCATTTATTATTGGTATCACACTTACTAAGGAAACTTCATAAATAGTGAATTTGAGAGTTGTGAAGAATTTTTTACTGTTACCATTCTTCTACATGATTTTCAAGCAACATTTATATGGTATAGAAAAAAAGCAAAGTAAAATTGTTGCCAAAAAAAAGTCTTGTATACTTTTTCTCTAATCTATATTACTTATAGCTTATTTTCCCCAGTAAAGTTTCACGTTACACAATAACAGCTTCAGCCTAACTGCTCTCATTAACACCTGAAATAATTCTAGTGACATCAATCTTAGACCCAAAGTTGATCATTCTGAGGTAGTTATTTTTGTTCTATATCTAGGACATGGATGCTAACTATATCCCTTATCTAAGTCAGTTGTTACAGAAACTGCTGTTACACACAATAGCGTATGGTGTGAATTCAACACTGCTAAAAAAAAAATTCAAATTGGTATACAGTTTTAACACTGTGGTAGCTAAAAATATGCATAGCCCCAATTTTAATTAACACACTTTCAATGTGTCAAAAGGCTATGTAAGATTCAACATTCCATATTTCTGAACAGGAGTAGAATGTATGTGCATTTGGAAACATACTTGCGGAGTTCTCGTTGCTCTTCCCATTGTTTCTGTTTCATTAGCTTCTTCATTTGTCTTTTAGATATTGGTTCAAACTCTTCATTTAATCTTGGCTTTTGGCTCTCCTCTTGATCTTCCCTTAAACCTTGCTTCCTTTCAACCTTGTAAGGCTCAATAAATACTGGCAACATTTCAGATGACATTATTTGATACCTCTGAAAAATTGAAAAGCAGCTTTTGATATGGACAGATGATTCACACACACACACATACACATACACAAAATCAACCAAGAACAAATGACCAATAGATGAGACTAAAATTAAACCACATCTATAATGAATAAAAATGCTAATTTAGGCAACTGTTATTTACTGGTACAAATCACTTGATGAAATGGGGATGTTTTCATATACTATTGGTGGTCATTGCACAATTTTTCCAGAAGGCTACACAGAAATTTCTTAAAATATTGATATCTTTTGACCCAGTAATTTCCTTAGAATACATTCCTGTACATTAATCAGAAATATACACAAAATTAATGCTAAGGGTATATGAACTACAGTGTTATTTTTGCAATGAAAAATTAGAAACTACTTGAATATCAGCAAAAGGGAACTAAGTAAATTGCAGCTCATTTATAACAGGGCTGGGAATACTAAGCAGCCAGTAAAACTCATGTTTCCCCAAATTATTTAGTGATAAAGGGAAATGATTATTTTAAATAAAAATCAAAACCAAAAATGACATATACATAATGTCTAATTTGGTTTTAAAAAGCATAGACACACGTTTAATTCTTACCCATCGTTTTCTGCATTTTTCTAATTTTATATAATGAAAATATAGTCTTATAAAAGTAAAAAGGGAGATGTTTTAAAGGCTTTTTGTACCAAGTCCCTCTGCCTGTACCATAGTGTACCTTTAAAGGGAGATAGAAGACACCTATTTGTAGTGTTCAATGCTATAGTATGAGGGGAATCAACATTTATTACCTGAGTGTACTCACAATGGATCTTTGACAAAAGATATACTATAGATTTGTACACTTTGGACACTACAGAAAACAAAGTTTATACTCCGCCCCCCCACCCCCCGCTCCATATATTTCATTGTAAATATTCCAGTAAAGTCATGACTTAAAAACAACATACATAAACTGATTCTATTATCAGTCATGGAAATGCTTAGGGCCACCTCAAACATCTTCATCTGGATTTAACCACCCACATCTTTACATATAAATATATAGATACATATTTTCTAGAACTGAACTTGCCCTTCAGATTAGGAAAAAACTAGAAATACTGAGATTTCTTTGCCCCTCAATAGATTATTAACATCAAAGCTTAAAAATGTATTTGTTATTTATCCTTACCAAAACGTAAGCATGAAGCTTGCAAATGTTCTGTTGGCCTTAAAGAAAATTCTGTGATTCTTTCTTTTTACAGAGATAGCTAACAAGTTTGTGCACAGAAACTAACATCCAAAAAAAAAAAAAGAAAAATCCCCACAATTCTAATGGAAAGACAAAACCTTTGCAGAACATAAATAATAGTGTTATTATATGGTTTTTGCTTTCTCCTAAAGTACAATGTTGTAACAGGACATATGGGGACAACTAAGCAAGCTTAGAAAGCTTACCAAGTTTGAAAGACAGGAAATTTTAAGATGTGTGCTTTGGAGTCTACAGCAAAAGCCCTGGAATTTTGTTAGGTCACAAAATTACTAAGAGCAGGAAGGAAACATCCAGTAGTCCAAGTAAGAGTTCACAAGTTTTCCTTATACCTCTAACCAAACAGTACCCTTGGTGTGGGGGAGCATCTCCTAAAAATAACACGTCAAATTTGATTTTACACTGGAAACTCCACACAGGCAAGGATGACCTGTTTCCACATTGTACTACTAACACAGTGCCTGGCACTTAGTAGATGCCGATTACATAGTGATGGAATAAATAAATGAGTGAATATGACAAAGGATTTTTTAAGCTAATGAAAATAGTGCTAGCAAACATTTATTCTTACTGTGCTTAATAAAAAATTTATTATCTAATTTAATCTTTAAAACAACCCTGTAAGATAGACAGTATTATGTCTACTTTACAAAGAAGAAGGCATAGTCAGGTTAAATAACTTGCCCACAATTGCAAAGCTACTAAATAATTCCTAAGAAATAAGGCAACTAGAACACATCCAGCACAAAGTAGGTCCTCAAAATACTTGTTGAGTGAACAGATGAAGTGATGCAGCTGTGATTCAAACCCAGATCCAACTCTACTCTTTTTCAGAAATCCAAAATATTATTTAGAAAATGAGGGTTTCCAAAGAATGGAAAAGAGCTTTGTTGCTTCAACCTTGGTGTTGGAGAGCTCTAAGAACACTTGTGTCACTGAAAGATAAAAAAAAAATAGCTCCAGTTTTATTCCTATACCACTGAATCAAAAAATTTGGACAGATTTCCTAGAAATGGTTGCCATAAGTTCATGTTTTGAGGCACCCTGCTTCCCAATCTTGAAATACATGGCAGTAGTAGATGAAATATTAAAAGGGCAAACAAACGAGGTATAGCCTCTCTCAAAACCACAGACAAAAATAGATGCTGTTCCTGCTGGAAGGCAGCTGGAGGTTTTCCTAGCTTTAAAGTAGTATGAATAATAATACAAGACCAAGGATGGGAGACAGTTTAAGATGAACCTTAAGCAAGTGTTGGGGGTGGGACTCCTCTTTCCATGAGAAAAGCCTGAAAACAGGTAAAATTAGACTATAGCTTATCCGAAGCTGAGTACTTGGGGGAAACTTGCAGGAAGCAGACATGGCTTCCTGGGCCAAGACAAGAGGTGACATATGAACTTTTACCACTATAGAACTAGAGTTCTGAGCTCCTGTATATGTTCTGTTGTGGACTGAAGCACTGAACAGGGCCAGTGGTGAGAGCAACCACAAAATCAGTAGTAGACAGAGGTGGTATGGGCAGTGGGCAGAGGAAATAATTCCATCAAGATAAGTCTGCAGAGCAAAATTACAAAAAGACAGGAATGATGGAAAAAAACACCAAGTCAACAATCAGGAGATAAATTCACTGTACACCAATAGACAATAGGGGAATGTGAAAATACTTTAAAATTAAGTTAGGTTATAATCTTTCGGAGATCATAAGGAGGAAGAACTGTGAAAAGAAAACAGGAAATTAGGACACAAAAACAGGCATAAAGCAAAACAAGAATTCATGAAAAAGAACCAATTTGGAAATGAGGAAATGAAGAAATAAAAATTTCAACAGATGAGACAAATTCCAGATTACCTGGGGTCCGAGAAGTAATTTATGAATTAGAAGATATACCAATAATCTGATTTTCAGATGGAGAATGAGAATGAAAAAAATCTATGTTGCAGCAGTTAGAAGATTTGAGTAATAGGATGAGAGACTAGAGGCAAAAAGGTAACTGGAGATAAATACATAACCTTGAGTGCATTCATTTAAAGATGTTTTTAAAAGGCTGGAAATTAAGGTAAGCATTCCACTTAACAAACAGGAGAGAGGGACACATGGTGTGTGTGTGGGGGGGGTCATGGGGAAAACAGTGTATCGCAGAGAAGGCAAACAGTGAATCTGTGGCATCTTACTACACTGATGGACAGTGGCTACATTGGGGTATGGGTGGGGACTTGATAATATGGGTAAATGTAGTAACCACATTGTTTTTTTCATGTGAAACCTTCATAAGAGTATATCAATAATACCTTAAAGAAAGAAAAAAGAAAGAAACAGGAGACGGGAAACTCAGTAAGCCTGAAAAACTTAGAAGGAAGAGTATTTTAAAATATATTTCAATCTCTAGGATCACATTTTTACCTCCTTCCCACAAATGGTACATTAAATAACAAGTCAGCAATTTATGTATACAAAATAATATAGGGTGGAAAAAACAAGTTAAACCTGCTCATTAAGCTAACCGTGCAAACTTCAAAGCACAGTTAAAATTTACAGGAAAGAAACTGCTCTCTTCACTTAACAATGATTGATATTCCGAGAGAACACCTCCATTCATTAGTGGCATCTTTTTTCTAGTTCTCTATTATGTTAAAAAAAACTGCAAGTGTTGATTGGCTCTATAATGTGAAAAATTTTTAAAGCAATGGATAGCAGTGCTTTTCAGCTCATGTACACGAGGGGGAGCTTTCACCTTTCCTATATAAGAAGTCCAAGTTAAATTTAACTTGGCCTATCATTGCTGTACTCATGTTTTTAAACAGCCTATCAAATACAAGGAAAGGTCATGAGCTATCAGCATCATTATCATTATTATTTAAGCTATTCCCAATTAAGGCCATGCACTCCAGTAAGTCACTTTTTAAGCTTTGAATAGGCTAGATACACCGAGGCATGGAATACAACAATGTGCTAGCTTGAGATCCTATAAATTATTGCTTACAGCACACTTCACAAAGATTTTGTACCAACTCCTTCTACCTGTACCATATAATAAGCATTTCACTATGTACTGGCTTGTTCGAATCATCTGTTAAACACAACATAAGTTTTACTAGATATACTATTTTAGTTGTGGCCAGTTTATAAGCTCCATGGCAGAGTTTTGTGTTGTTTCCCTCACACGCAGTGAAGCTCACAGTACACTTAAAATATTTAAGAAGGATACTTTGTAACCATTACAGAAATATTTGTGTGAAATTTAGTTTATTTTGGCATATAAAAAATGTGGTTCATTTAGTCATAGAAGTAGGTTATCAGCTGGTTTTATAAAACTAAGAACTGGATAAAGATAACTAAGACCATTTGGGGTGGGACGAATACGTAAAAAAGTATCTCACTCTTCTTTGTATTTCCAGGTAGCACAGTTTTGGGAGTGAGGACACACATCATAAATCACTGAATGGCCGTAAGAAAGGTTAAAAAAAAAAAAAACTTCCATGGATTTTGACTGAGCTAAAATATAGTCTTCACAGCCTCCTTCCAGAAAGATCCAAAAGAATATCCAATAACTGCAGAGTGGAATTAAACGACTTGACAGTAATAGGGAAAAAATACCCTTTTCCAAATCTGCAGTAGCGAAGGCCCTGGTTCAGCGGCCAGGTGCCTCGGACAGAGGACCAGGCTGGGCTGCGGGAGGTAAAACACAAACCAAAAAGAGTGATAGTCATCTGTTGATAATCCTCTATTTCTAAAAAAAAAAATGCCCGAAATTCAACACCTAAAATGTTTCAGTGAAATCAAGTAACACCTCAGCCTTCTTCAAACGGTCCTCAGCTCACCACCTCTTGGGGACGCAGCACCTGCAGCAACTGCCCCCGGCTGTCCGCACAGGTCAGAGCGCTCAGCCCCGTCCACACCTCGTCGGAGAAACGAGGCAAGGTAGCTCTCAAGAGGCAGAGACTTGCCCCCAGTCTCCAGCCAACTTGCCCCCAGTCTCCAGCCACCACGTGGCAGAACCACAATTCGTCTTCCGGCCCTTCACAGGCCACATACCACTCTCTATTTTTTGTAAACTCTCTTCACAGGAAATCAGAGACCGACCCCAAATACGTCAAACGTAGGCGCCCTACGGGGTAGGCAGAGCCCCGCCCTGCTCTCCCTCCCTGCCGCGGACGACACACGCTGGAGGCGGGACTAAACTGCAGCTAGCGAATCAGAGAGCGGCTCGGCGGCGCTGGTGAAGAAGCGTTCTCTCTGACGTCATTTCCTTCTACTGTCCCCGCCCCTCCCCTCCTCCCCGGAAGCCCTAGTTGCTCGATGAGGGTGGCGTTGGCCCTCGCCACTTTGGCGCCCAGAGGGTGCGAAAGGGTAGGCGAGTGCCAGGAGACCTACGGAGGAGTAAGGAGGAGTTGTCGGGTTACCTGAGAGCGTGGGCAGAAAACCTTCCTGGATGTCGCTCACGAGTCCTTCGGAAACTCCAACTCCCAGAGGCAGGAACCATAGTTAACACGTACAAGTTCGCGGCGTTTCCTCTACGTCATCTAACTGCGCCAACTCCACGCTGCAGTGGGAGAAAAAGGGGAAGGAGTTTAATATAGGGCGGGGTCTGGAGTTAGCGATCTTGGAATGGGAGATGGTTGCCGTGGTGTTTTTCCTCTTCAAGGCGAGTCCGTCCTGTGCGCGTGTATTCGTTCATATATTCCTATGGGGATTGGGGTGGAGTGGAGTAGTGTTAAAAATCACTACCCTTAAAAGTTCCAAACAGTGAGGAAGAGCTCTGAATTCATTTGTGTTGAAGAGAGGAAAGACTCTCTTGCCTAAACTACTTAAAATATATACGGAAGAGGGTTGCCAGTATCACGTGATTTTACACAAATGGAAAATAAAATTTAAAATCTGAGTCAAAATCTTAATATCTCCATTTCTTGTATGGTTTTTCCTATGCTGTTATGCAAAACAAGCGACATTTCATTGTTTATAATACTTAACCATATTTAGCCTTTTTGCTAAATACACAGATCAAGTCACCTGAGGTAAAACCGAAACAGTCCCTTAGATTGTCTTTTGTATTTGGTTTTTTTTTTTGGTTCTACTGCTAAAAGATGATTATTGCAGAATTTGAAGATAAGAATGAGGTTTGAATGAATAGTAGACTCATTATGGAAAGAATGCTGAAGTAAATTATTTTTTATTTTTGAGAACATATTTGAACATATTTAAAGTGAATAGAAAATTCAGTTCAGAATTTGTTTTCTAAAATAATTGAAATTTCTCTTAAGTTTAGTCACAAAACTGATGTCACTCTTGAAACGCTCAAATTTTACTTGAAAAGCTGTCAGCTGTAAGACCATGTGAATCACTCTCTGTTTCTTCTCCTCTCAAATCTAAAAGGTCTCTTAACTGAGCATTGACAACGAAGTCTGGATTCGTTTGTGGTCTGTTAGTAGGGCATCTTTTTTCAGCTACCTCCGTATCAGGTCCAAGAGTAGCTGAGGGAGGATTAGTAATTGGATATGGAGCCCTTCACATGTAGGTCATTAAATTCAAGCTGGCACAGTGCTATGCCAAATCTTTTCAACAGCTGTTCAGTTGTCCCTCTGGATCTGCCTTATGAATAATTACATATTTTTTTCAGAGTTAATACCATCCTTAGATATTTAAAACAAAATTTTCAAATTACTTTAAAATCCCTTATGTATTAGTAGTGGAGTCAATGGATTTTCTTTTGACATAGCCATTTAACCTTATATGGTGCGAAATTTAAAATGATTCTAGTTATCAATCTAAAGCAAGCTCCAAAAAAGTACCAGCAAATAAAATAAAAGGGGCAGTTTAACCAGAGATTGAAACATATAGAAAGTTTGGGAAGGTAAAGTCATGCTATAAGTAATACTATTTCCAGTGATTTGTAAAATTTGTGTGTTTATTTGGGACGTCTTTTGAGTTCCATGCTTTTTGTCTTAATACTGTTGATATGAAGTTAATTAAATCATGATCTCTGTCCTTAAGGAATCCCTAATCTAGTGGGATAGTCAATGGCAAATAAATACCATACTATACAACATATAATGTATTTGAGATGCATGTACATGGAAAGGAGCAACTAAATGCTCCTGGAGGCAGGGGATGTGGTTTTAGAAACTGAATAATTTGCCCCATCTTGGAAAGTAAGTAGGAGTTTTCCAAATATCAAGGAAGGAATGGTATTTAAAATATTGAGGACAGTGAGAGCAAAGACATGCCATAATTTGGCACATGAAAGAAAAGCTGTGAGTAGGATGAGGAAGAAAGAAAGAATAACCCTAAAGGTTTTTCTAATTTGGACAACTGTAAGAATGTAATTCTGTCAACTGGGCCATTTAAAAAATAGTGGAAGGAAATTAGGTTTAGAAAAAAAATAGTTTGGGGGAGTCTGTAGGATATCTAAGTAGTAACATCTCAAAGTCAGCACACATTTGGTAGTTTAGGCCAACATAAGAAGTTGTAATCAAAGAGATAATAATAGTCCATAGGTTATAAACTTACAATGTCTATGAGGACTAGAAGATACCAAATGAGAGAGGCTATCTGGGAGAAATGGCACAAACCTGAGAGCACATTACCTGTTTAATCAGAGTACAAATGCCAAATAGGTATGTGAGCCTAATGATATCAGATCTTAAATTTTTAAGAGCAAATGAAAATCTGGATTTTTATGTGAAATCTGATCTTTAAATGTTGGTAACTATTCTGTTTATTTTAAAAAACGAGCAGGCTAAACAAAACATGTCTGTGGACCACATTCAAACAATTGTCAGCCAGTTTGTTAAACTGGACTATAGATTATAGAATGAGAAGAGGGCTACAGATAGAACCAAATTTTATAACACAAAAACATACTAAATACAATTATGAGCTCCTACAAATCTTTGACCTGAAAATACTGAACAATGCTAACAAGATCCATTACTTTAAGCCTAGTTCTGATTCATTAAGTCTGAGAGTACTCTTCAGCAAATTGGGAGTAGGAGGGTGTAGGAATAGAGTAACACTTGGCAAATATGTTAATTTCAGATAAAAAACCAAAATTAGTGAATTTTTTTAACCTTGAAAGGTACCCAAAAGACAAAGTCAACCTATCATATATAATAATTTCAACTTGCATTTTGATTGACTTGAAATATAGAAAAAGTTTATGATGTTTATTAAAAATACCTTATCCCCTGCATCCTACCTCCCAACGAATATATGCATATTGAAGACTCTAGGCAGATGATGGTGGAGACAGTGTAGTTTGAATCTCCTCATAAAAACAGGTAGAGCATGTAGGATAGCAAAACAGTAATAACCACAATAACCTCAGATCATGGCTACAACATAACTTACGTGAAAAAGATTCCTTGTAAAGTTCAAAATTCAAAATACCAGCAGATAGGAAGAAACCACCAACTTAGTATCAGTGTCTGTGTAGGAGGAAATACTGGAAAGACAACAAGTATCTGAAAAGAATGAGGATCCTAAAACTGCCGACAGGTATTTGCTAAAAAGCAAGGGAGACCAATGTGAGATGAGCAGCAAAAGTGGCAGACTAATTTCAAGGTGAGTACAAAGGGATGAGCAGGAAGGTCTGAAAGTGCTGGAGGGGTGTGGAACCTATGAATTCTCAGAACTTAGTAAACCTGAACTTCCTTCTTAAACAAAGCTTACCACTAAGGAGAAACTTCGGGAAGTAGAGTCCAAATTGAACAGAATAAGGACAATAGAGGCAAAGGAAAAAACAGGTCCAGATGGAAACGAGAGTTCAGATGATGACATACATTATGTGTCATTTTATGAAAACATCAGAAAAGGTAAGCTCTAGAACCATCAGGCTAGAAAAGATGTTCTACCCACTTCTCCCTGTTAAAATTACAGAATAACTTGCTTAGCTTAAAAATCTGCTACAAAAAAGAATCAGAGTTGAATCCTATTTAATGTTATAAGAATATGAAGCAGAAACTATAGCCCAATATTTCAAAACAAGATACATATTTAAATGATAAAAGATAGAACAACATAAACTCAGAAATGAAGTGATTAAAGAAGAGAAGATTTGAAGGGACATGACAGAACTCAGAAAAGAATATGAAAACAGTCATGGATATTCAACATCACCCTTGGAAGTCCTAGCAAGTGCAACCAGACAAGAAATGAAAAGAGAATTAAAACTATCTCAGTTGACATGATTGTCTATGTAAAAAGTCCCCCCAAATCAACAAAAAAGCCCTTGTGGAACCAATAAGTGATTATAGCAAGGTCGTAAGATACAAGAGTAACATGCAAAAGTTAATTGATTTCCTACCAGCAATGAAAATTGGAATTTGAAATTTTAAAAACAGTAGCAACAAAAATAATAGGTATAAATCTGACAAAATATATACAGTACCTATATGAGGCAAACTACAAAGCTGATGAAAGAACTAAAAATCTTGAATAAACATAGAGGCATTCTGTGTTCATGATTTAGAACACTTGATATTGTAGAAATGGTCACGCTGTGTGCCTATCTTGGTTTCTGATATCGTTATTCAAGAAAAGGAACCACAGCTCTTTGGAAAAAGGACTGATTCTAGGATTGGGATGAAAATATTCAAGATGAGCCTGGAGCATCTTTTAATGTCAGAAATTAAGGAAATAGTTGCACACACACAGGGTAGGGTATGTCAAAGGAATGCAGGAGCTAACTGAAAGAGCTCCCAATAGCTAAAGCTGGAAAACAGTAGAAACAAAGTAGTACTGGATTTAACCCAAAATATAGGATAAATACTCATAAATAGGCAACTGCAAACTATCTGCCTACCCAGCTGCTCAAGGACTGGTTTCCAGGAACAGCCCAGGCAGACTAAGCCCTTCTTTCCCTTTTTCCTGGAAATTACGTGGGCCACTAAGGTTGCAGAGCCTGAACTGTTGGAGCAACGCCTGTGGCAAGTCTGATATTTCAGAAGTTGAAATGGAAATAGGCTACCTTTGCAGGAAAGCAGTTCAGGACCTGCCACATGAGTGTCATAGAGTGGCATGTGTTTCCACAGCTAGGAAGCCCTGAATTTTAACCCTCTTTTAACCACGATTTGAAGATGCCTTGGAAAAACCTCTCTTATAACTAAAACCCAGAAACAAGACATATTCTGGAAATTGGATAGTTTCTGTCTTGTGAATGCAGACATTCTCAAAAAGTACATATTTAGAAGTCCATACTATGTTAAGTGATGAATAAATGGGAGAGAAGAGACAAATCTCTCATGCAGAGGAATTTCAAATAATTTATGTAATACTCCACTCTCAAGGAGGAAGAACAAAACGAACTACTCCTTAAGTAGGGGCCACACATCGTACTTCCTTCAAAGAGTACAGGGTGTAAAGGAAGATGGAGAAGTAATTTTACAGTGGAGAAACCTGACAATACTGCTCTGTCAGGTGATCAAGGTCAGCATCAACAGTGATAAATCATGTTGATAGTATGTTCCTTTGATATGATGTGTAAATGGCACCTCTCTTGTCTTCCTCCCCCAAACCTATAGGCCCAGTCAAATCATGAGAAAAACCTCCTACAAAATCCAGTAAAGGAGCATCCTACAAAACACCTGGCTTGATCCTACAAACTACTTCCAATCTGTCAAGGTTATAAAAAACAAGGAAAATAAACTGACATAGTCATAAGGGTCTCAAGGATACATGACAACTAAATGTAATGTATCCTGGATGGGATATTAGGATAGGAAAAAAGCACTAGATAAAAATGAAGGAAATATAAATAAAGTATGCATTTTAGCTAATAATAATATATTAATGTTTTATTAAATTAATCTCCCACACTAATATGAAATATTAATAATAGGGGTAACTGAATGCAGGCTGTATGAGAAATCTCTGGACTGTCTTATTTCTTTCCTTTAAATGCTAGATGTTCAGTTTTGTGTTGCCAAAGATAGTGGAAAGTTAGACTCCTCTTAAGATGACTGTTATTGACCCATGAGGATTTAGTTGTCAAATATCTGTGTGGGGAGCGGAGTGGAGTGGGGGGCAAAGTTCAATTAATAACTCCATTTGGGGAAAATTACTATCCTTTTTGGAGAGTCTTAGATTCCAAATATTTCGTACCTAAGTCTCAAGTTTACTCTTGTTAAGGAAATGAATTTAGTGGGTTTTAATTTTCTCAGAGAATTCTTAAACAATACCTTTTAAAATAGTGTATGTATTCTCCTGTAATCTTTTTGCCTTCGCATAAAAGATCACCACATCATAAAAAAATTCTTAACCTAACAAAAATACTTTTTGTGGTATTTCTTGAAAATGCTAAGTCCCTCACTGAATGAAAAATACATTATTAGACTTAGGGATAACTGGAATGTCTCTCTAAAAATTTTTTTTCATTAGTATCACATTTCTTTCTAAGAACAGAGTAGTGTTCTGATGTTATAAAGTTATTTTTCCCCTGTAGCTATCATCCTGACTTACCATATCTGTATCTATTTGGGTAATACATTTCCTTCCAGCCTTCAGTGGGGTGAATTTCATTTATCTTCTAATCTTGGAAAATTACTTAACTCCTAACAACCTCTGATACTCAACAGAAACACAACTTGTACTTTGGAATTAGTCATCCATCTTTATTTCGTAGTTGTACATTTATTGCAGCAAAAGAGTAGTGTAGCAAATATTCCACAGCATCACATACTACCAGCAGAATTTCATTGCAGCATTGTTTTAAAATCTATTATTTGATTTTGACCTAGCTAGCACAGATCAATTTTTCCCCCTGTATGTTCATCCCAGACACCTAATATGATAATCAAATGCTCTGTTAGGCTCCATACAAAATTGTGGTGGACTTATTAAAGAACAGCCCCAATTAATAATTCTGTGTCATCTGTAAGAAATCAATTTCTTTCCACTTCCTTTCTCTAATGCTTTTTAGGTACAGGAGAATATTGGATAGGTTTCAAGGTTTGTTCTTTTATATTTCTTATATCATTTTACCAAATTAATCTGAGCCTCATTTTTTAATATGTAAAATGATTATTGTTAGGATATACTGTAAAAAATGTAAAGTACTTAGCATAATGTATTTTACATATAATCATTCCATGGATGGCAATTCTTATTATTTTTATACTGTGTTGTGCTTCTGTCCTTCATATGCAGTGTAATTTGCTGCTGAGTTTTGGGATGTATCTCCTACATATATTATATAATGTTTGCTTGATCAACAGAGCAACAGAAGAGAATGACTCTCCTCGGGTACACAGAATTTACTGAATATGGAAAGAGTTTGGCATTCTTATTTCCTCTCCAGTGAAACAATCTTAAGTCTTTCACATGTTATCTTCAAAAGAAAAAGCTATAAGCAAAATATAAAAGGATGATGTTATTTCTTATCAACAGAAGCAGCCTTATTGAACATCCTGTGTTGAAATGACTACCTAAGACAATGACTCAAAGGAGCTTTCTAGTGGAAAGCAAATGCTCAAAGGAAACAGCACTTATTTTATTTGGCAATAGTGACATGCCTTTTATTGGCTGGACTCTGGTAAACACCTGACAAGAATGGTACTTTACCCAAAGACACACGTGTCATGCACTGCATATTCTAGCCTTAAACATTAAAGGTCTATATAACTGTGAGCCTCAAATGGAAATACAGAGAACAGTTCTTAAAGAATCACACAAGATTCAAACAGGTCCTTAATTTAAATAAATATGTGAAGGTTAAGTTACTAAAATGACTTCATGTTACTGTGTATGTTATGCAGAAATTGTATAAATACACAGAAATCTATTGAAATGTAAAATGATAAAGCACTTTCACATTACCTTGAGTTTATAATAACTACTATTCATAAAAACATATTTCTTTGACAAAGTTATTTTTCAAAGAATGGCCTTTTTAGAAAACTTGTTATTTATAACTTTAAAGTGATAGTCATAACCATTTTATTTTTGTGTAAGTACTTTAGCCATGATTTGCATATGAAACAGTGATAGCAAAAAGTTCTAATCTCAATAGTTCTTAAAGGCAAAGAATTTTCATTTTTTATTTCTTTACATGAAAATATTTTTCAAGAGGATATGTGCTTAATTTTGGAGATTTTTACATTTTATATTTCATTTGGTGTCCTCGTCTGTCAAATTGGCTATCTTTTACCTGGGTTGTCTAGAAGATTTAAGCCTAGGGTTAGAATTCTGGAAAAGGGTTTTGAGAGAGACAAGAGTAGTTTAAGAAGCCATTTTATACTTAAGTATGCTGTAAGCACTTTGAAGTTCATTTAAATAGACCTTCACCGACACTCTATTCCCTCCTTTGCCAAAACATCCCCACATGCCCCATGAGCCACCTCATTTTAGTAGGTTTTGTTCATACCAGGTCTCTGTTGGGGGAGTTTCCAAGGACCAGAAAAGAGCTGATTCGGCTAGCAGAACCTTGGCCGTACTAGGGTATTTGCTTTAATTCTAGAGAAATTTCCTAATTAATTTTCTGTAGCAAAGTGTTGAGGGCTGAAATTCCCCTTCTGAGTCTCTTCCTAGGAATGGGATTCAGAAAGCCTGGGGGACTCCCAGCCAGCCTGGGGACTCAGATAAGTGTTTCTTTTCATAGATACAGCTAGAGTTCTAAACTGATGTACTCAGTTGGCCTGTTAGCAAGGTAATGGCAGGCAGTGCCACTTTGCTACAACCCCATACAGTGTCACCCATGAGGAGAATCATGTAAGTTTCGGAAATGAAAGTTCTATCTACTCTGACATTATTTTTGAGTGATTGGTGGTGGTAAAACTTAGGTATTTTTAATTTAAATCCTAAAATTCAGAGTGTTTTTTTAAAATAATAACATACACATAGTATTAAAAAATTCAGAGATGACCATACAAGACATAATAAAATTCATTTAAGTTTGGCTGAGTTTGAGAATTCTCACCACCCTGCCACATAAAGTGGTAAAATACAAAGATAGGCATTTAATATCAGAGGCATGATGATGATTAAGAATTGAGCAGAAGAGTATCACCTCCAGTTTTCCTCAAATGCCCCTCTTAATACTGAATTTATAGGAGGGTGGACTGGTTTAATTCAAGTCTCAAAAGTGAAAATTTTCTTGGTTTTCCATGTTGAGTAAAAAAAATTAAGAACAGAGACTGAAAACTACAACCCACCTAAGTTTAATCATTAATTGTGAGCCCTTTGGTGAACTTAGGTCCTGATTTTGGAGTTTGGAATCTGACCTTTCTTCAAAGATAAACATTATTGCAGGTTCTGGGGAGGGTCACTCCCTCCCTGCCAAAGGAAGAGTCCACTTCTCAGTGAAGCCTAGCTGGGCCTGGATGTGTTAGACGGTAGCTGATCACTATGATTCTTCTTGCTGTGCTTTTTCTCTGCTTCATTTCCTCATATTCAGCCTCTGTTAAAGGTAAGTTTGTGTTGCCTTTTGCTAAACTTTGATTTTAATCATTGAGGGAAAGCGTCTGTATGTGTGTGTGCGTGTTTATAGTGAAAGAGCTCCAAACTAGACCATCTTCAAAACCATGTAACTTTGGAATGTTGTGAAGGCATGACTGGTGGGTAGGAAAACCAAGCTCCTATTCCTACATACGTTAAGAAAACAGAGGTTCCTTTTAGTTTCAGTCCCTCAGACTAGTGTGTGACTTGCATCAATTTCTCATTCATGGTTTTTTTTTAAAAAGGGAGAAGAAAGATGCCAGATATTGTTACCTGCTTCCATTGGTCACTAACTGAATACAGCTCCTTCATTTGAATTGTAAAAGAGGATTTTTTTTAAAGTTCTTGAATTTCTGTCTAGTTGCTTAGCAATGTGACATCAAGAAGAATTAGACCCAGTGAGAAAGGCATTTGATTTGCCAAAGAATTATGAATGAGATGGTAAAGCATGTATTTTATCCACTGCCATTCGAAAGTGACAGAATTGTCATAATTGGTCAGTTAAAGAAAAAAACTACGTGATATAGATTTAAGAATGAATACTTATTATCTTTGGGAAAATAGTGTTGCTAGTTACAGTTTCTATTTTAGGATAGAACTGATTTTGGAAAACACATGAATTGATACCTTTAAGAGAAAACAAATACATTTTATAGGGAATAGTTTCAAAAAAACTGGATGAAATGTATTAATATGGAATCTTGTCTAAAACAAGAACATAAACAAACTCCTTAGATTTCTAAGTGTTGCACCTTTAAAGTCATCACTTTTTAGAGTCTGCTGAAAGGGCCCACACAAACCGTAGTAGTTTGTAGTTACTAACATGTAATGCAGTTAAAATAGGGCCCAATTTTAATAACTGTGTACTCTAAGTAACTGATATAAAAACATTCACTTGTAAGTGTCTAAAACCCTTTTGGAATAAATAAAGTGATCATAAAGTGAAGTCTGTCTCAAGATTTGTTGTGTGGAAAAATTCCACATTAGGAAAAAAGACAACCTTTGTTATTGAAGAATAAATGCAGGGGTAAATTTAAATTATTTCACTTAAACAAATTACACTTTAGTTTCTTGAACTAAAGATTGCATTTTTCACCAGCTTCAAAAACGTTTAATTATTAAAGATACAGTCCTTACTTGGCATTACCTTCCAAATAAAATGTTGTGTGTTTGAAATATGACAGACTTATATTCCATAATGTGAGATATAATACCATGGTTACGTCTGAGAAAAAATTGACATATAGTAGTTATTGTGGCTTTCTCTTTTCTTCCCTACTCTATATATGAGAAAATTGGGTAACCTGATGTTTTCAAATATATGCACTTACAAAGACTGTTAAAAATAAATACACACACATAAACACAATAGTGACTTACAGGGAAATATGGTTTAGAATATGACAGAGAGCTACAGTTAGTTGTGTACAAGCTCAATGGCATATCCAGATTTTTAGAACCTGAAACATATCAATATAGGTGCTACTTTGAGGTAAGATTACAGAAACATCTTACTTTTGCAAATGTCACTGAAAAAAACATGGCATGTGTACATGTTCTAGAGTCCCCTTTCAAGATGTAGGAAGGTGCCTGGACACGTGAGGGCCCCAAAACTTAAGAACCATTAGGTTCATGATACAAGCTGCATATGCTAATATCATAAATAAGAAATATAGGACTTGACAGCTCTCTGTCTACATGTGATTGCCTTTTGTATTAGAGTACTATGATTTAATTATCGATCCCTTGCCCTGTGTAATGAATTGACACTTAATGACCAAACTCATTGTGAAGAGCCACTTTAAAATCAGGCCATCATAAATTTTGGGATCCTAGGCATCACCTCAAAGCTCATCTCAAATTTAACTATCAGTGTAGCTGTTTAGCAAATCCCCAGATCCGGGTGGCTGTTGAGTGCAGGTTGGACTGGAGAGAATGGAGGTGGAGGTTAGGATTAGCATGAAAGAGGTCTTATTAAGAAGAGATGTGCTAAGTGTAAATGTTCTGACTCAGGTTTTTCCTACTTTTGAGTCATATTTTGTAATGGTGGCTCTCTTCTCAGGGGTTTTCTTTGTATTTTCTTTGTAGTGCTTTTACTTTTAATAACCCACACATGAACTTTCTACTTAATCTTGTCACCTTTAGACCTGAACTGTTCCTTCATTTCTAGTCTTTCTCTAAGTCGCAGGCCTGACCCATATTTTTCAGCCCATTCACATTAATCATTTTCCAAATTTCTTTCCTTATCCTTCATCCTACCATTGTACTTCCAGTCATATAGTTTTCTGTTGGAACCCTAAATCCCATTACCTATCATCCTTATCACTACTGCATGTCTCTTCAAACCTTACCTTTAATTTATCTCTACTTCATCTTCTTGCTTAAGCCTATTAACTGTGCTATTGTAGTCATCTAAGTTTGATAAATGAGTATTTTAAGCTATTCCTCAACAGGTTCAAAACTAAGAGTTTTGCTTTTAAGTCACTTAAACATTCTAAATGCACTTAAAGGGGTACATTGAAGAGGCGCTGACTCCATTTTGGGCTAAAATTAATTTCTTTTCTGGCTTTATCGAACATTAGTTCCAAAAAATGCCATTGTGTGTACTTGCAGAGTAACACCCTAAGAAAGAAATCAAGTCAACATTATAAATACAACATGCCCCTATTGCCCAGTGTTTCCAGATATCTGAATAACATAAACAGAAATACTTGGCAAAGATGAAAGGGTAACAGGGACAACACCATAGTACAAGCCATGTATTTGAACCATTCTGGACATCTCCTGTCAAGAGAGGTAGGGACAAGTTGTAGGAGAGCAAGGCCCATCTTCTGTGCATTACCCTTCCATGTCATAGTTGAAAACTGATTTATTACATATATGTTGTCCCTTTTCACATTCTTTTGACCAGTAAACTGAAAGAAAAAAATTATCAACAGGATAGTTTGGAAAGCTTTGGAATTTCAGAGAGGTCATCTTCTTACTTTTCATAGTTATTTTAATTAGAAGACACCTTCATGTAGTCCACAAAACTTAGATCTCCATAAATTTAAAAATTCTACATTATATCTGCTCTATATATATGAATGCAGAGTCAGCTTTTTTCAGCTGTCATACAATGCTTACCTTTCAGAATTGCTGTGAGGATTAGATAAGACAACATGTATTTCCTTTATGCCTTATTTGGAACTTAATAGGGCCATAAAAAGAAGGCCTCTCTGGCCAAAACATCTTTCTTGGCCATAAAGTCAATGTTTGGACCTGCAGTTGGGTCCCCAGTTAAAATGTAGAAGAGGTGAATGTAGGAAGGCTAGAGGAAGTCACAGACTTCCTCTCCTTCAAGGTTTTTCCTGACTTTGTATACCTCTGTATCTCATAGCTGTGGTTCTGTCTGACTTGATGCTTGGACACAGTCAGTTTTTGTGCATATACACTTGCATACCCACTCTCACACTTCCTTTTTCTGGCTTTTCTAGATTCCTGTTTCTTTTGTCTCCATATCCCCTTTCTTTGAAGGTTTGGCAGATCATGTAACTTCACCACCCAAAACTCTCTGTTGGCTTCCCATCTCACTCAGTCACATTCTTTTTCTATGCAAATGTCCTGCCAAGTCTCTGCCCCCCATGGAAGCCTATTTGACCTCATCTCCTCCTTCTGTGGCTTTGACTTACTCGATTCCATTCTCATTGGCCTCCTGATGTTCCTCCATTACACCTGCATGAGCCCTCTTGGGTCCTTTGAATTTGCTCTTTCCCAGGTAGGGGAATGTGGAGGTAGGAGTGTGGGGATGGAGGGCAGGGGGATGCACTTTCCACAGATACCATGTAGCTAGCCTGACACCTTTGCCCAGAATCATACCTGCTCACAAAGTTCTTTTCCTCAGCACCCCCATTCCCTTTCCTGTTTCATTTTTCTTCTTTAGCTCTTCTAACATATTGTATACTTTGCTTAAATGCTTATTTTTTTAATTTCCCATCTCCTCTTCATTTACCTGTAAACCCACATTTGTCTGCCTGTTAACTGGTATAGCTCCAGAGTCTAGAAAAGTGCCTGCCACCAAATACATGCTCACTACATCCTTGTTGAATGAGTGAATGAATGAATGAATTCCTAGCTCACTGACTAAGAATGGGAAGGAGTTCAATCTAAATGTTTAGATGTGTTTATACTATAGGAAGAGCAAAGTGTCTTGAGCCAGACAGCCTGGGTTCAGATCCTGCCTCCATCACTGTCTGGGTAATCTTAGGTAAAAGTATAATCTCTGTGCCTCTCTGTTTCCCTTATCTATAAAATTAAGACTGATAATGGTGCCTATCCCATTAGGCTTTTGTAAGAATTAAATAAGTTAATGCACACGAAACACAGCATTTTATTAGACACGATGTATTTTGACCCCTTTTTTTCCTCTGGGCAGTAGGCGATCTAGTAGGTGATAGAAAGAATAAAAACTTTTCAGAGGTTTTCTTGATTTTTTGACTTTGCAAAGTAATTTTACTTCCTTTTTCAGCTGCCTCACGTCTTGCCTACTCATCTCAACCTCCTTTCCTGTCCTTTCCCCACATATGCATATTTCTTGAGGAGGAAAATTTTATGGTTGCCTTTTATAGTTACCTAGGCAATGCAACCTCATTAGCACTGAGGAAAAATGTATACTGAAATCTTTTTTTACTAACTCTTGAGAGACACAGGTAGAAAATCTGCAGATAGAATTTGTATGACCATGAACTTCAAGACATCTCTGGGAAGGACCTGATCCTTTACATTTCTTTGGGTTAAGTTAAACTCAATTGGAGAGAGTGTGAGCTCCCTCATATATCAATTTTTTTGGCTTCCAATACTAACTTGTATACTATTTGACATTAAATTGCCCATGCCAAGTTAAAACCTTTGCTAAGATTTTATGTAGTAAAATAAAACACCATTTTAGTCAGGAACAGCTGATATAAGTTTACATATGCATAACATTGAGATAAACCTTTGTGCTAAAAGCTTACTAGTTTAATTAATAAATTACATTAGAGGCATATATTTTAAGTTTTCAAAATATCCAACTTAGGGAACTGACTCCTAACCACTAAAATTACATTGGCATTGAGCTGTTGCATTTGAATGATATGGTAATTAAGAATTGTTCTTATTAATTTTAAAAAGCAATCTCTGGCTGAACTGCTACTTGAAATCATATTCATATACCTCAGTACAGCTGAAGTGAAAAAAAAGAAATTGTATTCATGTAATTAAAAGTGATATAATACATTTCTTTAAAAACCATTCTATTGTTCAACCAGGGCAGTTAGATAATCTGATTATTAATTAACGATACCAACTAAGGTTTTCTGAAATGGAAGCTTATTTGTTTGTTTGTTGTTTTCATTGTTGTTCAAGCCAATGATTTTGGCAGATGGAGAAGTAGAACCATCTTTCATTTGGCAAATATTTACTAAGCTCCCACTGGGCACCACTGTACTGGACAATGGATGCACTGATAGCACAGTCCCTGACCTGACTGGTGCCTCACAACTAAGACTTGACTTGTGTCACTCTCGTTGTACAGGTCACACAACTGGTCTCTCATTAAATAATGACCGGCTGTACAAACTCACATACTCCACTGAAGTTTTTCTTGACCGGGGCAAAGGAAAACTCCAAGACAGTGTGGGTTACCGAATTTCATCCAATGTGGACGTTGTCTTACTGTGGAGGAACCCGGACGGTGATGATGACCAGCTGATCAAAATCACGGTGGGCATTTTCTGCCAGAGATATGCAAAGACTAGACGTCCACAATCTTTGAGACGTATATTGTTCCACAGCACTTGTCTTGTGCTCTCTTGTATATCCACTTAGTTTGTCACTAAAATAAGTAGACCTATAGTTTTGAAGTTTTTCCTAATCAAAAGTGATCTGATCTTTCCAAATTGTTGAAGCAGGCAAATAAGGCATATGCTGGTGAGTAAATGAAATATGATGTCCAGTTCTATGTATTATATTAATAGGCACGTTAAACTAGAATCCATTTGAAATGTTCTGGGAGTGAGGAGTCTGGAATCCATGTTGTATGAGAGACAATTGAGATCACTCTCATAGAAAGAGGAGAGAAGTTGGGCCCCCCAATTTTTCTGCATTCCTTGGTATAAAAGGTGGAATTATTAGTGAGAGACTAAACCTGTTCTGTATTCTTCCTGAGGAAAGAACCAAGCACTCTCTTGCCATGGCAGTGTTTGGTCAGCCACAGTGGTTTAGATTTATCTATTTAGAAAGGAGGTCAAATCAGATGGCCTCTGGGGCCTCTTCCAGTTTTACATACAGTGATTCCACATTTGCTTTTTAAGGACATAAAGAAGTATATTTCCTTAATAAAGCCAATTATTCTATCTGTTAGTGTGAAACAGGTATATAAGACCAAGATTTGCTTCATTACAGCTGATAAATATTTGCTGACACATTTTATAATGAAGTCATTGCAATATATTTAGAGAGCAAGCTGTGATTCTTTGGATTTCTCTAGTAAGTGTTGTGTTTCTGTAGTTGGGTCAAAACTTCTGCCTCAGCCATTTCTCAATAGAACAGTAAACTATCTTGCAGAAAACACGATGTACTTCCTTCTTCAGTAATCAAACTGCTTAATTTTGTATAGAGATGAAGTACAATAGGCAGGATTTCTTTCCAACAAATGGCACTGAAAGTGAAGAAATCAGGCAGACAGCAACAGTTCAAAATGATTGAGAAGATAAGAGCAATATAAACAGCCATCTTCTAGTCACAATTCTTGTAAACCTGAAGTCACAGATTCCAAGTATCAGTATTTTTACCTAATTCAAAAACCTAATTTCTTAGTACCCTCTTTATTAAAGTTAATGACAAAGCCCTTTGAATCATGAATTGAAAAGTAACAGAAGAAATTGTGGCCAGCCCTGTTCATTACTTTACCATTTTATTTTGTACGAGACTGATGGAAACAGACATAGGAAATTTTTCTAATAGGTTTCTTTCCATGATTCCAGATAAAGGATGTAAATGTTGAAAATGTGAATCAGCAGAGAGGAGAGAAGAGCATTTTTAAGGGAAAAAATCCATCCAAAATCTTAAGAAAGGAAAACTTGGACACTTTGAAAAGACCTGTGCTCCTCCATCTAATACATGGAAAGGTAAAAAGTGACTTTTGGAGTCTCACAACTTTTTCTCCAACTTCAAATTCTTCTTCTCTTCAGTTTATAGTATTTTGAGGTGATCATGGTGTCACTGTTTTTATAATAGTTGGAATTTTTTCAAGAATTAATAAACAGGTTGAAAATGAAATGTTTCAGAAGCAAATCAAGGCATTGAATTCACTTATTTTTATAGCTATTATGTTCCCTATTTTTATAAAAATATTTGTAGTAGCATCAAGTATCTGTTTATTGATGAGAGGCCTTCTAAAAAAGGCACATTCCTTGTTGAATTAGGAAGGATTAGAAAGCTACTCTTATACAACACTCATCACAGATGGCTGGATACATTCAGGAGAATAGACAAATTATGAGAATGAAATAATCTAACTGAGATGAGTGATTTTAATTGGTCAGAATGTCAATATCTGGCTTAAGTATGAGGTTGAAGCTTTTGAAAGCATGCTATTTCTGAGTAGAGTTTATTTTTTTTAAAAGTGTTTAGAGATTTTTTTTAAAAGCAACAACTCTGAAAAGCATCTTATAAAAGTAATGAATGCACACTATAATATTCATTTGGAAATTTGTACAGAAAATTCTCTAAGTATATATTACTCATGGTTTGATTGTAGTCTACTAAAATGGTCTTAATATGTTTGGAATTGAGAAGCAATTGTTATCACTGAATTATTAGGCATTATATATATGTGGGTTTATGAAAGTATAGATATATTTACATGCATAAAACTGTATCAGTAAAAATGAAAGCTCAATTTTAGAAAATAAGGTAGAAAACAGAAAGGAGCTATTATAGATAAATCACACACATCTCTAAAATTTCTCTAGACTTGAAATTTCTGGATTCAAAATAAAGATGAAACAAATACTTCAAAATACAAATTTCAGACATGTGATATTTACTAATCATGATGCGCATTTTTATATAAAGTGCTAAAAAGATGCTTACAAGAAGGATTCTTGTGTTGTCACCTCTCCTACAACCAATCACTATCATGACACCATGTTTGGAATACTTCTGTTCCTTCTCCAGTTGTCAAAATACTTACCATGTTTCAGGCTTTGATCAGAGGCCCTTTCTTTTATAAAGTTCACATCCTTCCAGCCAGTTGGAAATACCCACCCCTCTTTTGGACCCTTTTAGCACTTTGTAACTCACTCTTGGCCTTTATAACTTTCTTTTGGTCATTTGTGTTCATTGCTAGATTATGGGTTTTAGTAGAGAAAATTCCAATTCTTCTTTATATTCCAGCCCCTCCTCTGTCCTTTACACCCTTGGGATCCCTTTCTCCTCGGAGCATCTAGAACCATGCCTTGCACTGACAGACTTGATGTTCAAGGAAGACTTTCTCAATATTCTCCCAAATCCTGTACTCTCCTGGGCTTATTCTAGCCAAGCATTTGTCACAGTGTATTGCAACCCTCTCTTTATTTGTCTCTGCCCACATTTAAAGTAAACTTTTCATGGGCAGCAATGGTATCCTTATTTCTGTATCTTCAGAGCCTTGCTTATAGTGGAAACTCAATAAATGTCTGTACTCCAAAAGAATGAACCTCTAAGGTTATATGGAGCTAAAATGAGTTTAACTTTGAGAAAAGTTCAGTTTATTGTCTGGTTACTAATAGGCAAAACGTAGTGAGCACTTACTGTGCACCAGAGGCTGACTGGAGGTATTATCTGAATTACCTCTTTTAGCCTCATGCAGCTGTAGGAAGCAGGTGCTGCTTTATCATCCCCTTGTGATAGATGAGGAAACCAAAGTTGAGAGAAGACACTTGCCTAGGGTCACACAAATGGCAAGTAGTGGAACTGGAATATGAAATAGGTCTAATTTCAGAATCTAGGCTAGAAACCTTTATTTTATACTATCTTCCAGCTGGAAAATATTTGGGAAAATACTAACTCTTTGGCTGACTTGTATTCTCCACCATGTCCATTTCATTCTTCACCATGTCCATTAACTCACTTGATTTTCATACGGCACAACTTTGTTAACAACATGAAATACTATTATTTTCTTCTCTGGCCTTCCAATGTGGCAAAACACTTAAGTCCATAAAATACTAATTGCATTATAATCTTAATGACAACCTATCATTTTATAGCTCCTTGGGTAGCAGCTGAGTACAAAGTCTTTTGTTACACACACAAAATAACTCAGTGCCCTCACTGTTCAAAGGCTGGGATGGAGCTGCCACATCATTATTTCATTGACTCCAACATGCCAGTTCTACAGGAGTGACTTGTGATGATTTACTGTAGCCACAGGTTAAAGTACACTGAGGTATCTTTCAGTTATATGATAAAGTTGGAAAAAACTGGACCCTGGAGACTAAAAAGCCATGTGGAATTTTCAGCCACATCATTGTCAGAAAAATCATTATGTAAACTCTCACTTTGGTTTGCTGTGAGAGAAATTATGCAACGAAAGACTGAACTACTATAAAGAATATTTTCTACTCCAGGCAGAAATTCAGTTTTACTCCCTGAAATTTCTGTGATTCAAGGATGCTCATCAGCATGTTTTTGTTTTGTCCCTCCAGAGCCCCCTGTTTGAAGCTCCCATATTTACACTATAAAAGAGAGCCCACTTAAACACCTAGATGAATGTTTATTGCACATCTTTTTTCCAAGTCCATTCTTCTTCCCTACTTAAGCATTTGGTCATGACTCAAGTTTTGTCTATAAATTGTAAATGTGGAAATACAACGGTTTCCTGGTTGATTAACACTAACAAGCAAAATATGCCACAAGTTACAGCATGGATTCTTTTGCACCTGAAATGCTAATCCAATTAACTGGATAATTACTAGATTTCCCTTTCTGCTTTTTGCTGTCAGTATTGATTAATTAAGCACATGGCTGCTGAGCTGACCCTTTATTTTGTGTTGTTATCTAAGCCATTGATTTGCTCTCTGAATCTGGTGGTGTGGCTTTTGTACACACACTGGCTGTCCAAAAGAAATATGACACCTTGAGAAACTTCTGATTCTTCATATATTTCTTCACTTACCTGTTTTCAACTGTGCATTTCCTTGCTCTGGTCTGTCTTAGACACATATCAAAGATATGTTTAGAGACATAGCTCTGACTGAGTAGACCAAATAAAATGACTAATCTCTGTTTACTGGGATTGTTTTGTTTACTTTTGCTGTTTGGCCAGCTAATGGAATTTTGCCTTGTCTTATTCTTAAAGAAGTTATAAATTAAGGGAATGTATAGAAACATCTTTTTCTTAAAGAGAAAGTACAGATAATCCTTACTGATTCCAAGGGGAAATTAGTGCTAAAATTTGGCTGGAGGAGGCGCTGCCATCTCCTTCCCCACAGCCCACCCATCTCCCTCTGTGTTTGGTTTCCTTGGGGTAAAGGTTTAGTTTGTAACTAGGTTGTCCCTGTTCTCTGAAAGCTCTGGGGACTGTGAATTTAGATAAGTGTCCTGTGCTCTTAAATATTCAAAGCACATATCAGAACTGAATGAAGTGATCAGCTTTATGGCATGAATATGAATACAATAAAAATTACTCAGTTCCTACTGTGAAATAATGGATTCTTAAATTAGTACTTTGACAGCCAAACAGACAAACTGCAAAGTTCTGATTGTATCACTATTATTATTTTAAATTATCAAAAGCCTGCTCAATTCTAACAGTTTTGACAGTTAGCTAATATGGACACTAACGCTGCCTTCGCTTTGGATCTCATTAGCCTGCACCAAAGGAACAGAAATTAGGCCCCAAAGATAGCAGTCATACAAAGGAAAAACTTCTTGTCCACTTTTCCAATTGTAAGGAAATAATATAAATTAATAAAAGGAATTAAAAAAATTATCTTTCTATCTCACAGTTCACATTGTTCAGCCTGCCAGGAAAAATAAAAAGGGCTCTAACACCATTGTCTTAGACCCTAAGTGGTCAAGATCAAAACTTGATCCTTTGAAGTGGTCTGGTAATAGAAGGGCACTTAGCCTTGAGCTTAGTCCATTGATTAAATCTAAGAACTGGGTTTGCTGAAATTTTAGGTAAAACTTTATAAATGGTCAGGCACATTTTGCAGCCTGGAAGGAAAGTGAGGATACTGGTGATAGTACAAGTATTTTTCCTACATAATTGCTCCTCTTGCATTCTAAATACTAAAGAAATAAAGTATTTGAGATTCAGGCAAAAACAGTCAGGGCCATAAGCATGAGTGTATCATCACCACGTGAGCCCTTCTGACTGTTTCTGGGCCCAAGAGATCCAGTTATGAGCCTATAATAGTCATGATATCTGAAGATCTTAGACTCACAAATATTTGAAAAGGAAGTTACACTGTAATTCCTAAAAGGAAAGAAGACCCAGTTTACAAAATAGAACATCAGAAACTCAGCCGTGGATCTGATAAACTGACAGTGATTTGTTTGCGAATATGATACAATGGATTTTCAGACACTGAGGTGACTATTCCAGTTCCTTTTTAACCTAGACAAACACAATTCCAACATTTGTAGTTTCATCCAGTTTAATGACTAAAATTGATTGCCAAATAAAGTATGTAGTAAATCTGTCACTAGGAAAAGTATATGTAGAAAATAAAAATAGAGATTTGAGGCACTTATTTGGATAATTCAGGCAAAACATTCTCTTCTAAGATCTATGAGAGAATTTTCATATAGGCTGAATCATTCAGATTTGTATTAATTGAATTCATTGCATAATTACTGAGCTTTCTGCTTTACTTGAGAAATCATGGTTGGTTTGAAAGAGAAACAGGAAGGCATTTAGGATGTTTCTGGTAGAAATGCTTAGCTAGAACGCATCTCCTCGTGTAAGGGAAACAAAATAAAAAAAGAACAAATGGGACTACATCAAGCTAAAAATCTTCTGTACAGCAAAGGACACCATCAGCAGAACAAAAAGGCATCCTACAGTATAGGAGAATATATTTGTAAATGACATATCCTACAAGGGGTTAACATCCAAAATACATAAAGAACTCACACATCTCAACAACCAAAAAGCAAATAACCCTATTAAAAAATGGGCAGAGGATATGAACAGATACTTCTCCAAAGAAGAAATTCAGATGGCCAACAGTCACATGAAAAGATGTTTGTTATCAGGGAAATGCAATTATCAGGGAATGCAACATCACTAATTATCAGGGAAATGCAAATTAAAACCACACTGAGATATCACCTCATACTTGTAAGGATGGCCAGCATTGAAAAGACTAAGAACAACAAATGCTGGCGAGGATGCGGAGAAAGGGGAACCCTCCTACACTGCTGGTGGGAATGTAAGCTAGTTCAACCACTGTGGAAAGCAATATGGAGGTTCCTCAAAAAAACTAAAAATAGAAATACCATTTGACCCTGGAATCCCACTCCTTGGAATTTACCCAAAGAAAACAACTTCTCAGATTCAAAAAGGCATATGCATCCCTACGTTTATCGCAGCACTTTTTACAATAACCAAAATATGGAAGCAACCTAAGTGTCTATCAGTAGATGAATGGATAAACAAGATGTGGTACATATACACAATGGAATACTATTCAGCCATAAGAAAGAAACAAATCCTACTACTTGCAACAACATGGATGAAGCTTGAGGACATTATGCTCAGTGAAATAAGCCAGGCGGAGAAAGACAAATGCCAAATGATTTCCCTTATTTGTAGAGCATAACAATGAAACAAACTGAAGGAACCAAATGGCAGCAGACTCAGAGATTCCAAGAATGAACTAGTGGTTACCAAAGGGGAGGGGTGTGGGAGGGCAGGTGGGGAGAGAGGAAGAAGGAGATTGAGGGGTATTATGTTTAGTATACTTGGTGTGGGAGATCACGAGGAGAACAGTGTAGCACAGAGAAGGCACATAATGGATCTGTGGCATCTTACTACACTGATGGACAGTGACTGCATTGGGGTATGGGTGGGGCTTGATAATATGGGTAAATGTAGTGACCACATTGTTTTTTCATGTGAAACCTTCATAAGAGTGTATATCAATCATACCTTAATAAAAAAATAAAAAGCAAAAACAAAAACAAAAAAAAAGAAAAAGAAAACAACTTCTCAGATTCAAAAAGACTTATGCACCCCTGTGTTTATTGCAGCACTATTTACAATAGCCAAGATACGGAAGCAACCTAAGTGTCCATCAGTAGATGAATGGGTAAAGAAGATGTGGTACATATACATAGAATACTATTCAGCCATAAGAAAACAAATCCTACCATTTTCAACAACGTGAATGGAACTAGAGGGTATTATGCTCAGTGAAATAAGTCAGGCAGAGAAAGACAAATACCAAATGATTTCCCTCATTTGTGGAGTATAACAATGAAGCAAAACTGAAGGAACAAAACAGTAGTAGACTCACAGACTCCAAGAAGGGACTAGCAGTTACCAAAGATGAGGGGTGAGGGAGGGCAGGTGAGGAGGGAGGGAGAAGGGGATTGTGGGTTATCATGATTCATGCAATGGTGTGTGTGGGGTCATGGGGAAGACATTGTAGCACAGAGAAGACAAGTAGTGATTCTGTGGCATCTTACTACACTGATGGACAGTGACTGCAATGGGGCATGGGGGGAGGACTCAATAATAAGGGTGAATGTAATAACCACATTGTTTTTCTTGTGAAACCTTCATAAGAGTGTGTATCAATGGTACCTTAATAATAATAAAAAAGAAATGCTCAGCTATAGTTACCATAGAATTAGGGAATTTTCACAGGGAAGCTATATCCATCCTCTTTTTCTAAATCATGTGATGTATTTAGAGTTAACACAAGGTGAAAAATAGCAGACTGCTTTCCCCAAACTTCTCTTTGTATTTTTATCCTTATTTCTTAAACATAAGCTGAATTATCAAAATGACATGAGACATTGTTATCACTCCTTTGCCTATAAATATCAAGGAAGAAACAAAGCTAAGATAAGTTATTTACTATTGCAGCCAAATTGGTAACTCTCCTTGTTTCAACCTCTTTTTCCTGCCTTCCAAAGGGAAACTCAAATTGGCAGGCCATACAGTAGTAGCAATCTCAACCCCAAATCATCTCCTTATACCCAAGACCCACGTGAATTCTCTGGAGGGCCAAGAGAAGTCACCCCTGTGGAATTTTGCCCATGAGCATCATGGCCATATCTGGGCCCTTATCATAGCTCTTAGAGGCTGTGCTATCTCATGAGTCTCAAGTGACTGACTTGGTGATTGCTGTCCTCTTCTGAGAACCTGTTTCTTTGCTGTTACTTTAAACCTTGGTTAGTTTGTGTTTCCAGCAGAGCTGCAGGGAGAGAACATGATGACATAGCAAAGCGAATGTTCCTGATTTATCTTCCTTGGGCAATCCTTGTTGTTCTCACAGAAGTCCCAGCCTAAATCAGAGCTCTCCTTCCCTCCCTTTGCTATACTTACCATGTTCACAGCCTTCATTACCAGTCTTCTGAAATTTCATATTCTGAAAGTCTTGTTTTTTAGAAATTTAAATAGCTTCTTTTTACAAAAGTAAGAAAGAAATCCCAGTTTTGGAATAACAGCTCTCTTTCTCCCAGAATTGATGGAGCAAGAATCCTACCTTCACTGCCACTTTTTAACCAGTCTGAAAAATGATGCATTTTTACTTTGTTTTCATTCGTCCTTTCCCCCCAACCAGGTCAAAGAGTTCTACTCATATCAAAAGGAGCCAGTGGCCATAGAAAATCTCAAGAGAGGCCTGGCTAGCCTATTTCAGATGCAGTTAAGCTCTGGAACCACCAATGAGGTACTTGCTAATATTATTAAAGATCCAGAATCTTATTTGTCAGTAGTTAACAAAACTGTTTATATGGATTTCAATAAAAAAGTTACTGCCATAATAATGCTCAGAAAAGGTGAGTTGGGTGGGTAAGTCTTGTTTACATATGAAACAAATTTCCATTTTCCCCAATTTGTACTCAAATACAGGGTAAAGGGAATCAGAATCAGTTACATTAAGGAGACCTATAGAATGACTAAATGAACCAGAGGCAGAAATCCTTGGGAAGCATTCCAGTGACATCACTGTGCATCTCTCCCATGGGGAGTTTATTAAAAATATGTATTCCCTGGATTCACTGCAGAGATTCTGATTCAATAGATTAGGGAGATCTCGTGCATCTGTGTTTTATTAGTTTTCTTGATAATCTGGATGCACTATCAGTCTGGGGAACCACTGGTCTAGACCAACCTCCTTCATTTTACAGACAAAGAAACTGAGGTTAAAGTAGAGAAGTTCAGTGGCTCTCCCAGTATCATACCTGGAGTCAAAGGCAGAGCTGAGTCCAAGTTTCTTGGTCTGAATTCAACTAGCCCACAAAGGGATGAGCAAAATCTGATGCCAGGGCTAGGCCAAGGGGTGTTGGTAAGCTTGCAAGTATAAAGTCTGGGTGTGGTCCTGACAGAGGCCTGAGAGAAGGCTCAGAGAGGCTAAACAGAGTTTGTACTGGTATACATTTGCCTATACTGAAATTGTTGATAGAATTTATAAAGAGTTGAATTAATCCCACAGTTTTTTAAGAATTTCTAATCATACTCAGCTAGTCAAAGCACACACACATACACACACACACGCAGTTTAGAGTCAGCATTAAAAATCAACTCTTCTTGCCATATATTCACCCATTTATCAGAGGTTTTGATTATGACTAGGCTATTTATCTGATTCTTATTAGACATTAGAGAGAAGTAGGAAGTGCTTTATTATTTCTGGGGCAATAAGAAGGCACTAGTAAGACACAGAGAGGATGGAAAAGAATCCACATGCTGCAGAAAATACTGAGTTCTTCCTGTCTTCCTATCTTGTCAGCTTAGACAAAATGGCAGCCTACCCCCCATGGCATATTAAGGACCCCAACTTTTTTAAGCTGTTTCCCACTAGAATGCAAACAGGTCGATGTGAGAATCTCAGACATCATATGGTAACTTTTATTTTAGGTAGATATCTCTGGGGATTGTAAAGTGACCTACCAGGCGCATCAAGACAAAGTGACCAAAATTAAGGCCTTGGATTCATGCAGAATAGAGAGGACTGGATTTACAACCCCAAATCAGGTATGATCAATACCACTTTCTGTGAGGCATGCAATAATTACATTTTGTAGAGATTAATTTAAAATAATAGAAGAACAGGGTAACAATATAATTTGGGAACACCTGTAATTTTTAGTTTAGAATATGAATTCGTATAATATCAAATGAATAGTTTTACTTTAATATATTCTAGGTTTGGGTGATGAAGGGAGGGTGTAAAGGGGAAGCTCTTTTGAAGATTAAAAGATAATTTGTTCTTTGATTTGATTCAGAGATGAAAAGTTGATTGCTTGTTACAACTACAAATATTTATTTATTTAGGTCTTGGGTGTCACTTCAAAAGCCACATCTGTCACTACCTATAAGATAGAAGATAGCTTTGTAGTAGCCGTGCTTGCAGAAGAGACACATGCTTTTGGAATGAATTTTCTACGAACAATTTCAGGCAAAATAGTATCGAAGTAAGATAAAGCTGATATTTTAATTTTCCTTACTGTTCTTTGATATATTATTATACTTGGTTTTTAAATATACATATACATATATATATAGAGAGGAGAGTGCTTCGTCATGTTAACTGTGAGCTCCTTGAAAACAGTGATTATATCTAGTTCATCTTCATTTTTCACATTATCTACAATAATATATTTGGCATGTATTAAATACTTGCTGTTTTAATAGAATTTCATTAACAAATCCATTGTTGAATAGAATTTAAGTTTTAAAAAAGGCAAACTACTTGATTCATTCTAGTTTATTTTCTGATTTCTTTGTCAGATGTTTTCCATGTTAAGGTAAAAAAGTGGTGGCATATGTATGTTCTCTCCTTAAGATTTTTTTTTGCTGTTGTTAAGAAACATAAAAAGTCACATAGTGAAGTGGAATTAAGTAGAATTATTAAGTAGAATTAAGTAAACTTTTTATGTGATTTATAGTACTTATGTATTCAAGTCTGTTATCAATGTAGAAAATTTCTCTGGTCAGAATAATTCTCATAGGCTTAAAAAATTGAATTTCAAATATAAGAGTGTGTGTTATTTTCAGGTTTTAACTTAGAACAACATTTTCTAGTATTAAATATATCTTACTCCATTGATTCTCAAATGTTTCCTCTGCAGTAGTCCCCCTTAGACATGAGTAGATACAAAAATCTTAGGAAAAGTGCCTCAAACTGTAAATACATGAAATTTTATTGGAGTCTCATCTGAAGTAGAAATTTGCATTCTACTCTGTATTATGTCTATATTGTCTTCACATAAAATAAATGTTTAAAATTGTTTATGAGATCTATCAAGTCTCCATTGCTCTGCAACAAACCACTCCAAGTTTCGTGGTGCAAAGAGCCACAATCATTTTATTATTCTCCTTCATAATTCTGGGCCTGCCTTGCCTGGCCAGGACTCCTTGCTTGGTGTCTGATGCAGTTGCAGATGTCACTGACCAGAGCTGGTGCAAAGGTTGCCCCCTCACCTATCTTGTATCTGGGCTGGGAAGACTCAAATATTGAGGTTCCTCACGCTCTCTCTTGATCTCCATTTGGCCTCACAACATAGCAGTGATAGGTAGTCAGACTTCTTACATGGCAGCTCATATCTCCAAAGGAACATGTGCTGCTAGCATGCCAGATGGAAGCTGAATTCCCCTTTATCACTTAGCCTTCAAGTTGCATAGTCTGCTGTCTCTGTTACTCAGGGCCATCACAGAGTTCTGCCCAGGTTCAAGGATATAGATGTAGACTCTACCCCTTGCTAGGGTTTAGAGCCTGGGTTGTAAAACAACATATCAGACAAGAATATCATTGAGGCCATTTTTGGAAAATAAGATTTTCTTACTGTCATTGTTAATAAGTTATGTGGTTGTATTGAACAGCATTTTCAGAAAGCTGGGCTAAATTCGAAAGAGGTAACATCACATATTTTGTTCAGCAAACAGGCAAATTTTTTTCCCTATATTCTCTTGTCATAATATTTTGAAAATCCAGACTTGATTATTTAAATCTTTGGATAAAATTGTTGCTCCAGAAAGATTTCATAATTATCATGAGGTTTCTCTTACCACTGGAGATACTGAAGTTTGACAGACATGGCCTTGCACTATTTGAATAAATTAGTTAACTTCTTTGGCAAAGGAATAACAATTAGTAGCTCATTCACACTAAAGAATGTTCCTAATGTGATATTTGTCTTCCCTGGTTATACAGGCAGAAATTGGAGCTGAAGACAACTGAAGCAGGCCCAAGACTGATGCCTGGAAAGCAGGTTTCAGCCATAATTAAAGCAGTTGATTCAAAGTACACAGCCCTTCCCATTGTGGGACAAGTCTTTCAGAGCAAGTGTAAAGGATGCCCTTCTGTAAGTGTGAGCAACTGTGTTATGTGATCAAATATGGGAAAAATCATGGCTTAAAATTCTGTTTTCCTTTTATCTCCACTAGAAGCTTCAGTTAAGTCTATAAAGAAAGTTTACAAAGAACTACCAGCTACCACTGAGTTATAATGCTAGTAGCTTAACAATATGTACCTAAGATGATGCATAA